GATAGGAAAATGTGAAGGAGTGGAGTCTGGTTGTGCTCGGTATTCGAGAGCGTTGGGCACCCATGCTAAAGTTGCTGGATCGCTCAGTGATCTGAAAGCCGAGAAAGTCTTGCCAAGGAGATATGAAAGCGCCACTGTGTACCAGGAGAAACTAAGACAGGTCAGTCGGATCTTTTGGGCGCGTGATCTACTGAGATGATAGTCTCTTAGATCTATCACACGAAACTCGAGCAGCTCACAACGTTGACCAATCGCCTGAACGCCCTCGCACGGACGCTGGGCTCCCATTTCTTTCAACAAGATATCTTAACTCCCGCGGTTGCTGCTACTGAGGAACTAGACAACCCTACAGCACTACGAGATGTTATGCCTGAACGTTTTTCCAAACTTGAAAAGGAGCTTGTACGAGGAAAGGGTGAAGTGGTCAGTCAGTCTTTCCTTGTTTATCTATATATCACTGATCACAGGTTTGCAGTTGAGGCGACTAACTCAACTGGGTGAAGTCTTCACCCAGATCGACTGGCTTTACTCAGAATTAGGTATCGACCCTCCACCACCCACTGTCACGACACCGGTTGCCACCTCATCTTCAACACTTGCCGTACCAAGATATTCTCTGCCACGATCTTCATCCGCAGGTAGTACGCGTCTCAACTCCAGTGCAGATCCATTTGCGTCCTCAACTGCCGGACCTTCGACGCCTACTCCTTCATCGATCGGGACATCTGATAACCACATGCTTTGCTCATCATCCTCTCCCCCACAGCCTTCTATAGCCCTCCCAGAAGTTTCCGAGTTCCCCAACGAAAATGAATACCTCAGGTCACTTGGACGCTTTATCGAGCTACTCGACTCATCACCACAAGACTCGCCACCTGGAACAATCTTAAACTCGTGTGGTATCGAACCGACGCAGGGGATCTTGGCTTGGGGTGATAGACTGCATGCCGAACTGAATGAACTCAAGAGGCGCCGCGAAGTACACATCCAAGCCATGTATGATCAGCTGGAGGCGCTTTGGCGACGCATGGGTGTGGGTGAGGAGGGTATGGATGGTTTTGTCGAGGCGAATCGCGGGACGACGCCTTCTGTGGTCCAAGCGTATGAAGAAGAACTGGAGCGCATGATTGACTTGAAGCGCGAGAGAATGGGCGAGTTTATCGCTAATGCTCGCACAGAAATCGAGAGCCTGTGGGAGGAGCTCATGGTAGGAGAAGATGAGCGGAATGATTTTGCTGCATTCGCCGATGGTGAGTTTGTTTCTGTCACCCCCTTCGTGGAGTTTAACTGAGGGGATATGTCGTAGATGAACATACAGAAGATTTACTGAGCCAGCATGAGCATGAGATCGCCCGCCTGAAAGCGGAAGTGCGGCTCAAGATGCCACTGCTGACGTCGATCAAGAAGTACATGGATATTTGTGAGGAAGAGAAGGAGCTAGAGCGTGTAGCTAGCGATCAGACGCGCCTTCTAGGAAGGGGTGGGGGACGAGATCCTGGCAGACTGCTCCGGGAAGAGAAGATGCGAAAGAGGGTTGGGAAAGAGAAGCCCAAGGTTTGTTAATTCCTATTCATGCTCTCTACCTTCCGTCTAATTGTTTTCCGAACAGCTTGAACAACAACTACTGTCATCGCTGCCTACATGGGAACAAACGCATGGACGAGCTTTCCTCGTGCATGGTGAAAGCATGCTCCAATTGTTGATGGAGAATGCATCGGCGAACGAACAGGAGAATCGCAAAAGAACGCCTACTTCTCAATATTCTGCGCAGGCACTCAATAGGGGGGCTTCGCAAAGCCTGAAGCCCGCCGCAGCCGCCAGCAACGGGGCAAATGTCGCTTCCAAAGGAGGATATGTCCCTGGTAAATCCAACGCATCTCATCACGGCGTGGTAACACCCGCCGTTCGGCCAGGATCATCGACGTCTTCGAATACCCACGGAACTAATAAACGACAGAAACTCATCGATGGCACGCATCGTACCGTAGCACGTCCAGGATCGCCCACAAGGGGCCGGACACCCAGCGGCAATTCAGCTCTCCCCCGACCAACCACGCAAAACGCGCCGCATATGCCTTCCCATTCAAAGAACTCGCAGGGGTACGCTGCACTTGGATGGGGCCGCAATCCTTCGACGATGCCACGATCAACATCACATACGAGCGTAACACATCTCAACTCAAGCGTGAGCTCGCACTATCCTGCGAGCACACGATCGTACAACTCTGCCTCGATGGCGTCCAGTCATTCTAGGGAGTCAGCAGCTAAAAAGACGACGGGTCGTATTCGCAAGGAGAGCTTCAAACCACGGCCGAGTATCGACGGCGGTAATGGAGGTGCTGTAGGATGGAAGAGCGGGTTTCGGGGATGAGCGTTGCAGAGGAAGACGGATGCTGAGTACGACCTCGTGCATTCCTTTTTGTCTTTTTTTTATTTTCTTTCAATGACCACTTTCGTTTATCGTTCAATGCAAGCGCGGTTAGCTTGACGGTCTAAATTTACGTTATTTGTGAAGTTATAAACTATGTATACCTTGTTGTACTCTACCTTCCTCGACGGAGCCTTTGTTGGGAAATTTCGCTTCGTTCCCGTTATGAATCGTGCATGATGGACTGGCAAATTCTCGGGCAAGCGGTGAATAGAATGTGTGCGTGATACTTATCGGTTTACTCAATTTTATGTAAACTTTCAGGTACCCAATGCCCATGAGCTCCGCCGGGATGGCGCTTGGTCACTCAGCGCCAATAGGGTTACTAAAGGTTGGATTCTCTTCAAGGCATCGACGACGTCGCATCGTAACACTCACAATAGGTCTACGTGTATTTTTGACGTTCCATGGGTTAGACCAGTCATACGTGAATAGGTTCAAACTTTCTCCAGCGGCGGCTAGGGAATATCAGATTCGCAATCACGCCAAGCAAGCTTGTTTCATACTAGTACACTGATCACAAGCCCAAGATCGATCATGTGCGGCGTACAGTGGGCGCAAACAGTGATCGTCGCACCCCTCTATTGGGTGCTCTTTTGAGTCTTATCTATCAAGCGCTCTCTTGCTTTTTCACCTCTCATCACTCCTGCAATCCACAATGTCTACCTTGCGAAATGCGCCAACTGGTACACGTCAGGCATACCCTTTTCGCCCTCCCAGAGCAACAGAGTCCTCACAACCTGACAACTCCTTCATCCTCAAAGACCTTGGGGACAAGGTAGCCAAGTTTAAACGGAGCACGGGTACTCTTAGTCCTGTGGAAGTTACAAACGTCAAGCCCATCGCTTCATACTCGTGGATCGAGGCTGCAACCCCAACAATTGCTGTCCCTGGTAAGCATATAGTCAATGTTTGAGTAAGATCAAGTTGATCAGTGACCTGCTGGTGTCGCATAGGGTCTCCCAGAGTCTGGTTCACAGGCCCCCAGCGCGTCCCGGCTGACTCTGGAACACGCTTTGTGGATCAAAATGCATTTTACATGCGAAAAATGTCCCCCCTCATTCCCCTATTCGCAGCCATCGATGACATGAATCCCAGTTTCAACTTCAAGCAGTTCGATTTCGTCACAGACCGCAATAACCTTCGCAAGCTTCTCCGTTGGGCTAGTGGCTCATCAGATGAGAAAGACTTTCGTATCGATATCGATGTAGCGGGCACGACGTGCTTGTTCACACGCCTTGAGGCACAGAACACGGACACCGTACAAGGCTTTATGGGGTATAGTCATGAGTACGAGAAAGCGGCCACGAGAGTCACTCGCGGCTGCGAGAGAGCTACTGGTCATCACCGGATGATTTCCATCGTAAGACACTTGCATTTTCGGTGGTGTCACTTATCGCAACATATCATATTTGACAGGACATTGGTGAACTGAAGGTTCTCCTTCGTTTCACGATCGAGGCATGCACCTCTTCCACCAATGACACAAACGACGAGGACGACCTCTTAGCAGCCTTCTCAGGCCTGGGTATTGGCGGAGCGTCCGTCTCCAGCAGCCGGGACACTAAGAAGCCTCAAGTCACGGTGCCAACCGTTCGTGGCGTTACGATCAGACAAACGACTCCACGCAAAGTTGTCCCACAATCCTCTCTCATCGAGCTCAAAACACGCGCTGCCCGCCGAGAGATCGACTGGGCAGAGGTATATCCACAGTCCTATCTTTCTCAGACAGCATTCCTGTATATCGCGAAGCACGAACGCGGCAGCTTCAACACCCTGGAAAAAGTAGAGCTTGGCTCGGAGAGCATGCAGATTCATGCCCGCCATGCTCAACAGGGTGTCGCGAAGTTGAAACTCGTGCTTCAGGATATTTTGGATGCTGTGAAAAAGGAAGATGTGGGGGTAGGCTTGAGTTTGGTGGCAAAGGATGGCAAGTTGGCACTGTACAAGCGCCATGAGGGGACTGGAAAAGGTCCGGGAAAAGATATCACAGACAGATTCAATTGATGTGGGATTACTATCCTGGTAAGTATCAAGTGGTACCAAAGCGACCCTTCGACAACTCGCGGTGTAGGATATGGCTGAAGTGATACTTTGGTATTGTGATCGAATTTGAAAGACGTACTTTTTTTTTGCTGCACACAGCCTGATTGATGCAATGTCAGGGATTCAATATTCAATATTCAGTACCAGTGGCTTGTCCATGTAAGCATTCAGTGCAAGACCTCAAGCAAGATTCCTGAGTTGAATGTTGATCGCTGGAAACTCACGTAGCCGACGCTGAGGAACACTGAGAGTCATGGCAAGTTCGAACCGGGTGGGACTTCTGAAGATGATCCACTCGCCCTTATTGCTATTTATCTGTACTACTAGGACTGATAATCTTTCCGCTGGTTCTTGCATGCAGTTCGCTGACTCACGCGAGAAAGAGTTAATCGTGATGGCTGATGCATATGTTTGAGCGTTGCCTACAAGGTGAGTCTCATTTATCATCTGCGCTCCAACTTGTTTATCCTCCGAGCAGCGCATGATTGGCCATATTTATTCGTATCTACTACTTTAGCCGTACTCAAAAACACTTTTGGAATCCCACACGGACATTGCCTTCGACTTTTTCGAGACATGGTCCCTTCACAACATATTCGCCATTCCTGCCGATCTTTCTGTCGTCGTCCCTCACCAAGAGAACCTCGATCTCGATTGCCCTCCAGAACGTGAAACAGAACTCATGACAGAGATAAACGAGTTGCGAAGAAAACTAGGTGCTGTACGAGCAACGGGGCTGCTATCTGCTCTGATAGCACCGCAGTTACCAAAAATGCACGACGCGATATCGTTGACACAATCCCGACGATCTTGGACTTATGTGACGCCTGTCATCATTTGCATAACACCATCAAGAATGTTACGCAATTACCAGAGTTTGAACAGGTGTGTAGGATGACAAAAATGGAGGAGCAAAAACTCAGTTCTTACTCCTCCATTTTTATCATCCTACACAACAAGATGCAGAGGCGATATTGACCAACACCAATGCCACCAACAACAACAACCGTAACGATGGCTCATCTTCATCAAGACCCATGCATTCATCACGCATCCCCCGCGCGATTCCATTTTCACCACCTTCAACAGCGTTACCAACATCCCGGCATATCTATACCACACATATGGCAAATTCAACCACTTCACTGAGCTTCATTTCACATCCACCCGCCCTTCAGCACGCCAACTATCCGTGCTTTTATCCATCCTAAACCGGCACTCACCAGAATACAACCTATACCAGTACCAGTGCCGCTAGTACATCCACACTGTCTGGGATGCCCTCAAAAGGCTCTCCCCTGACTGCTTCGAGACCAAAGAGAGCGCAGTGCGCTCAAGTTACCTTGGTTTCCCGATAGATAAAGCAGACAGTGTGGACGAGATATGCAAATAGTATAATGATGAGTGGGCACTTATTGTGAATGCGGCAGAAAAGATGAGGATGGCAAAGGAGAAAGAAGCGTAGCAGGTGAGTTTCCAGTAAGGAGGGAAGAGGAAGTAGTAAGGAGGGAGGAGCGGGTGAGGTTCTTTCCAGTATTCGTTGCGCTATTTACTCATCTATTCTTGCAGGTTGGGGCTGAGTTGCAAGCAGAAATAGATCGAATGCGAGCTCAGTATGAGCGCCATGCAGTGTAATACCGGTTTAGCCATTGTTCTCCTTTCCTCCTCAACGTCCTCATTATGATTAGACTCAGTTGCAGCATACGTACAACATATCAGAATTGGCCTTCTTGTCTCAGAATCTGTTCGATCAACAGGGCTGTCCTCATCGATAACACGAAAAAGTCTTCCGCTTTCAATGTTAGGGTGCATTGCAGTCACAACGTATGACTTGGAGGCCTGAACAAACTGTGATCAGTCAGCCAAATGGTCATGGCAAGGGGTCCCCTTGCCATGATCAATTTTCCCACTGAGAAACGACAGACGAATGGCACAGAACCGCGTTCTTGTTTCGGACGAGGACACGACGGATACCGGCTAACTTGAACTCTGGCGCATCTCATGATTGATAGTCTATATTTGTTCTACAGCAAGGAGATGTCCGCCCTCAGATCTCATCTTCTAGGCTATTCACAGCCATGGGCGATGCTACATAGCTTCGCAACAATTCGACTTCATCGCAGATCGCAATAGTCCTCACAAGCTTGTCCGCTACTCGTCGAATGAGAAACACTTCTGCAATACGTGTTCACTCCGAGTCATACAAGAGACATACATATGTACAACCGAGTTCAATACGGGGGACGGGCTTTATGTATAGGATGTCAAACCCTACTAAATAACAGTAAATCAGGATTGATTTTTTTCTAGAAAGACTTCCTCATCAATGTGTTTGTTAGCACAGAGAGCATATACCTGGGTAGCAGAGTAGCTCATCACTAAAATACAAAAGACGCGAAAAATATAAGCTCAAATAACAAGCGCTACCTGCATGACTCACAGAACGATCAGCAAGACTAAGCTTCATCTGGCTCGACAGCTGTCACACTGCCTCCAGGCCGCGCTTCGAACTCATGTGAACGGGATAGTAATTCCACTGAATTCGTCGATTGGTCATTGAGAAAGTGCGGTTTCTCCCTGCTCATTTGAAGATTGAATAATATCCGAGAAGCAAAAACACTGTGCGCAACAATCTGAGGTCTAAAATGAGGAATGTGAGCTTGCGACAACATATATCCTTGACCTGACTGACGTGTTTAGAATCTCGGTGTCCGAGAGCTAGGGGGTCACCTCAGTTCTTCGAGGTCAACGAAACAAAGAAAGAACTCACAGGCAACACAACGGTAACGATCATATTGACTGTAGATATCACTACAAAGTTGTCAGCATGAAATCAACAATAATAATGGCGGTAGTACTCGTGATGCAGATCATGTAGAGCAGTCCATCACGATAGATACTCTTCACCAGCGCACTACTATGAGACCCCAGATAGTGTGAATATCTCAAAAATACAGTGATGGACATGAGAACTAGAAGTGAATTATCAAGTGGGGAATTTTAAATCAAATAGTCGTCTCACCTATCTCGAAGAACATCAAGAGTCCATAAGGGAGGGCACTACTAATTCTAAGAGACCCCACAAAAGCGCAAGGCGGGGTGACTGAGAGGATATGAATACAAAGACTAAAGAGTGAACCTTAAGACCTCACCTGGGCCCGGGATATCCAAATTGATGGGGGCAGCACTTAGAACCACAGACCCCAGCAAGATGACCTGCGCATGCGGGTCAGTGGTGCACAGTGAAATAGATGTATCGTTGTACCAAACCAAAGGAGAGAAGAAAGATAAGATAAGCCTTTTTATTGCCAGAGAAGGCGTAGACCCTGAAAATCAATAAACCTATTGCGCGAGTGTAAATGCATGCTGTAACATAGTATGCGAAATCCAACCTTCTGCGGCAATGATCCCCAAGAAATGTATGCCTGCGAAATGATGTTGCCAAAATATATCATGAGCTAGTATGTGGACCAACCATTTACAGCGTCGTTAAAAGGTATGCACTATATGTTGTTGTGAGTTGCAATTGGCACTGCACAGATCAATGATGTACTCACATCTTGCGTGCCCCATGTCTTGATAGCGGCTGGTTAGGAATCAGCTTTTGTATAGTAGCGCACACAGGTATATCTTACAGTATGAGGTCATAAGCGCACCAGCAAAAGGTGCATATCGTGAAATCATGAAGGCGGTCCGAACTATTCCCCACTTCCGCCCCCAGGTCCATTGGACCTACAAGAAATATTAGCACCAAGGTACGAGTGGTTGATTTGTCTGACTTCAGAGTGTAAGGTGACGAAGTAGTCATAAATCTGGACATACATCAGAGCTGTGATAAGACTGAAGCGACCCGACTTACCAGGATTGCTGATGCAGCGACTTTGAAGAGTTGTGAATACCGATAAGATTGATGCCAGCCCGACCTTACCGTTAGTATACTTGAATAGTAATAGTTGGAGAGATTAGAGAAAGACTGGGCAAAAAGTATGATTGGATTACCTTGGCCAACTGCAAACCGAAGGTGTCCGGGACTGACATTTTCAAGTGGGATAGTGGATGAATGGAAGTCTACAGCAAGCAGTTGTCAATAAATACTGCAGCCTTGTATACTTGCAGATCACGGCTGTGACCATCAACGTATCGAGGACTGTGAGTGTGCAGTGACCTAGAGCGCCCGGCATTCAGATCTCGGATTGGTGGCTTGATGATCACGATGTCATGATGCATGGATTAAAATAGTCGCACTGTGTGATCGGAGCACACGGGTTCGACTTGACATGTGACATGATAAGCCTCCCAGTCGTTTTACTTAGCAAAATTTTAAAACTCAAATTTAGCACCCGTAGCACTAGGTATACGTACCACCATCTGAGTGTGGCGACGCACAAAAAGCAGGTTTTGGAGCCTTGGATTTGGTATAGTTCAAGTCGTGCTCACGTACGGGGCGGGACTGCACCTAGATCGTACTTTTTGTCGATGGAGGCGCCGTAGAGCCGAGCCTGGGCTATGTTATCGCAACAACATCTGGAGTCCCAGGGTAGGCTTTACATATAGGGATGTTGACATGGGTCTCAAACCTAAATAACAACAAATCAAAAAAGACTTCCTCATGTTTGTTAGCACAGAGAACACATACACCTAAGTAGTAGAGTAGCTCGCTACTAAAATACGAAAGACGCGGAAAATACAAGCTGAAATGGGTGAGGATAGTCAGGAAGCTCAAATAACAAGCGCCATCTGTATGACTCGCAGAACTATCAGTAGGTCTGAGCTTAATCTGGCTGGCTAGCTGTCTCGCTGTCTCCAGGTCGCACTTTGAATGTATGTGGCTGGGATAGTAATTCTATTGAAGTCGATCGGTCGGTGAGCAAGAGCGGTCGCTCCGCGCTCACTTGAAGGTTGAACAGTATTCGAGAAGCAAGAACACTGTGCGCAACAATCTGAGGTCTAGAATGAGGAATGTGAGCTTTCGACAACATATATCTATCTATATAGTTGAGCGGACTAACGTGTTTAGCATTTCGCTGTAAGAGAGCTAGGAAGTCTACTCAGTTCTTGAGGTCAACAAAAACAAAGAAAGAACTTACAGGCAACACAGCGATAATCATCACATTGACCATAGATATCACTACAGAGATGTCAGCGCGAAATTAATAGTAACAATGGTGTTAATACTCATGATGCAGAACATGTAGAGTAGTCCATCACGATAGATACTCCTCACCAGCGCGCTATGAGAACCCAGATAGTGTCGATATCTCAGAAATACAGTGGTGGACATGAGAACTAGAAGTGAATTATCAAATAGGGAATTTTGAATAGAATAGTCGCCTCACCTATCTCGAAAAACATCAAGACTCCATAAGTGAGGGCACTGCTACGAGCCCCTTCAAACACACAAGGGGGGCCGACTGAAAGGAGATGAATACTAAGACTAAGAAGTAAGCTTTGAGACCTTGCCTCCTGGGATGTTAAAATTGATGGGGGCAGCACTTAGAATCGCACACGTCACCAAGATGGCCTGCGCATACAGGTCAGCGGTGCACAGTGGAATGGAGATATTGTTGTACCAAACCAAATGAGAGAAGAATGATAAGATAAGTCTTCTTATTGCCAGAGAAGGCGTAGACCCTGAAAATCAATAGACCTGTTGTGCGAGTATAAATGCGTGCTTTGACGTGAAATGCGAAAACCAACCTTCCGAGGCAATTATGCCCAAGAAGTGTATGCCTGCGAAATGTCATCGCCAAGTCATGTCATGAGCTATGCGAACCGACCATTTACGGCATCGTTAAAGGGTGCGCACTATATGTTGATGTGAGTTGCAAATGGCGCTGCATAATTCAAAGGTGTACTCACATCTTGCATACCCCATGTCTTGATAGCGGCTGGTCAGGAATCAGCTTTTGTATAGTAGCGCGCACCGGCGTATCTTACAGTACGAGGTCATAAGCGCACCAGCAAAAGGTGCATATCGTGAAATCGTGAATGCAGTCCGGATGATTCCCCACTTCCGTCCCCAGGTCCATTGAACCTACAAGAAATATCAGCACCAAGGCACGAGTGGCTGATTATTCTGACTTCGGAATGTAAGGTGACAAAGTAGTCATAAATCTGGTCATATATCAGAGCAATAATGAGACTGACGAGACGCAACTTACTAGGATTGCTGATGCAGCGACTTCGGAGAATCGTGAATAATGATAAGATTGTTACCAGCCCAACCTTACCGTTAGTGTACTTGAATAGTTGGAGAGATTAGAGAAAGGTTGCTCAAAAAGTACGATTGGATTACCTTGGCTAACTGTAAACCGAAAGTGTCTGGGGCTGACATTCTCGAGCGTCACAATGGGTAAATGGAGGTCTGCAGCAAGCAGTTGCCAATAAGTACTGTAGCGAGTCGCACTGCAACACGGAGTTGCCTAGAGCGCGAGGGTGTTTTTGATGATCATGATACTATGATACCATGGATATTGAATTGAGGTGGGCGCACTGCGCATGATCGGATTCTTAAGTATTTTAAGCCTGCGTACCTTGTGCACACCAGTCGTTTTGTTGAGAGTGGATGCTATTAATAAAATACTGTGGCTCGATTATGTAAGTAGAATCGGGTCGCCCGGAGGACCAATCAATTGCAGGACTGTATGTGAGCATCAGAATCATCGAGGGACTGCCTTTTGGCATGGTAACTTTTCTTTGGCCGCAGAGTGCATCACAGAAACAAGGTCTTTGTGCGCTGAGATGGCAATGCCTCTCCAACATTTGTACGGTTGCTCGCTATTTATGTAATACTTTACCAGACAATTCTGATTCAAAGGATGGTGATTATTCCTGGAGGGTCTGTCGCCATTTGCAAACGATGATACGTAGATCATGCACGTCAGCCTGCGGTTGTACTTTACGAGCAGTGCATCATATCCATGGCAAGATGGAAGAAACATACAGCTATCAGCTCTCCCGAACGATGAAGTGGGGATGACGGCCTGTTAGTCGAGGATGCGAATGGATTTAGCTTCGAGAAGAACAGAAGATGCTAAGCTTAAGGTGGTGCATTGTGTTCTTTTGTACACGTAGAATTATATAAAATCTCTTCGGATGATCGGAGTATGATCGATCATCGACTCGCCGGAAGCAAAGAATGTGTTCTAGTTTCAAAATAGGACGCGACGCCGCAGTACCACGGTCATGAAATTTCGAAAACTTGGTGCGAGCGTGGCCACTAATCAACTAATAGAGAGCTACTCCTTAGGCTTGAAGCAGAGGATGGTATCAGGCGCCGGGATGTTATACATTTATGCTGTGCTGTTTCTCACCGTCGACACAAGCAAGCAGAGACGCTCACTCAATAATCGACTGAAACCCAATGGAATACGGTCCAGGATCTACCACACAACTTCAGCCTGAGGTGATGCCATCCAAAAGCCCAAAGTCAAAAAAATCCAATGAATCGAAGGTCTGGAGGAACATCTTTGGGCGTCACTGTTTGATCTAACATCATGATAGAACAACCCACATACTAAACAAGCCTCTTCTGAGTCCCAGGCCGAAAATATGAGCCAACTGCTGGATGTCACTATAGCAGGCATCAGTGCCGTACAAACCGTCGTACCTAGTGACCTGGCGAAAGGTGTACTCGGAACAGTCGCCAGTATTCTGATGACTGTGCAGGTGCGTCGGCGTCACTCTCGAAAATGAGTTTAAAAGATCCTTACGTCCGTGCAGTCGGCGATCAAGAACAAGTCCGATTTCCGGGCGATAGTCAAGAAATGTGAAGCCATCGGGGAAATCCTCAAGAGAGCAACCATGGACACTACCGACGATAATCTTCCAGGATACTTGGCGCATGCTTTATCGGAGCTTAACTCGTAGGCAAACCAAATTTCACTGTCGCTAGAGACTGACAACACTAAGCAGGTTAGTTGACGATATCAATAATAAGGTAGTCTCAAGGAAGAAGCAAGGATGGTTCAAGAGTATCTTATCTGTCACGATTGATCGCGACCAGATTGCTAGTTGGGAAAAGGACATAGACAGTGCCCTCAAACTCTTCGATGTACGTCTCTGTGACTCGACCTGAACTTCTGCTGCTGAATGACATCTCAAGACTGAAGCGCTCGTTGGCATTGCCATGAGGGTGGAAGAGCTCCCTGGCATTACCACGAGGGTGGAAGAGCTCACTGGCATTACCATGAGGGTAGAAGAGGTCGTTTCGCGAATCGACGGCAATCTAACCAGTGTCAACGTTCTAAAGTGAGTTGTCATGTTCTGCGGGTTGTGGGTGTCCTCTAAATGCAGTCAGGCATCAGCCAATCGAGCCTCCATCACGACCTTCCATGTTTTATGGCCGCGATGATCTCGTGGCGGAGCTGACGACCCTCGTTGCTAACGGTGAACACATTGCATTGATCGGTCCCGGAGGCATGGGAAAGAGTTCTCTTGCCAAAGCCATCCTTCACGAGCCGCTTATCATCGAAAAATTTGCTGACCGGCGCTTCTTTGTGGCTTATGATGATCTAGATCCTTCGACCATCACATTCGAAACTTTTATGACTCATTTCGCGGGAGCCCTTGGCATAGAGATCACCGGCGCTGATCCTTTGCGCCCAATATCTACCTTTCTTCATTCCGCTAGCGCCCTTGTCGTCCTCGATAATGCCGAGACCTTCGAAGAGGCCAGTGCGTTGTCAGCGCTCGAAAAAATACCACCGGCAATCGCGAAGATCGCAGACATCCGTGGCGTCATCCTGATACTCACGTCACGCAGTCGAAGGAATGCAACAGATGTATTATGGAGAACGATGGACATTCCGCCATTGGACTTGAGTTCTGCAGAAAGAGTGTTCTTTCAAACTTATCCTCGTGCCCGTTGCGGCGATGCCGAGGAAGAAATAAAGAACCTGCTCAGGGAATTGGATTTTCACCCCCTCTCCATCAATTTACTCGCACACACTGCGCGGCAAAATGACTGGTCTCCAGCCATGCTACTAAAGAGATGGAACAATCGGCACACTGCCGTGCTCAACCCCGGCAAGGGAAAGCTGCAAAGCTTGTCAGACGCCATGCAGCTGTCACTCGACTCACCATCCATCCAAGCTCTTGGCGAGGATGGTCGTCGTACTTTAGCCATAATCGCCTTCTTGCCCCAGGGTCTCAACGACAACCTAGCTGGCGATTTGTTGCCATCGCTCCAAGAAGTCGACACTATATGCGATGTTCTACGCACGCAATCTCTTGTTTATCGTCAAGACGACTTCATCAAGGTACTCGCGCCCATTCGACATTATGTGCAAGATTCGTTGCCACCACCTGATTCCACACGTTTGCAAGAGATACGCACCTTCTACTATCGCACCGTCCAGCAGTGTTCAAAAGAACAAGACGGTCATGCTAATATCATTATCTCGGATCACTTCAACATCGAGCGTGTCGTTGCTTTCGACCTCGCCCATATCCCTGAAGAGACTTATCACGCTTGCTCCAAATTTTTGGACTGCCTGACGTGGCATCTTCCTCGCCCAACTACCCTTACCCCCGCTATTTTCAATGCCGTCGAGAACTCCTCCACGTATGAGCTCAAAGCATACTGCTTGTATAACCTTGCCTGGCTCTACGACACTCTCTCCCAGCTCACAGACGCAATGAAGATTTTCGAAGCTGCTGGGGCACTCTATCTCGCCACCGGCAACCACGAAATGGTGGCCGAATGTGTTATCAATTGTGCAGACAGATACAAATGTCAAGGCCGCTTCATTCAATCCCAACAGCTTTTAGAGGGCTTTCAACGCTCCGAGTCGTGGGAGTATCTCAGTGAACCAACGAAAGACAAAGTTTGGTATTTCTTGGACACGGCTCGGATGTGCACATTCACAGCATCTGTGGACGAATTATTTGTGAAGTCCTCGGACTCGGAAGATCACCACGTTGGCTTGTCGTCCAAGATTCGGCACTGGCAGGCCAAACTTTACTACGGGGGAGACATTGTCCAGGTGCATGAGCGCTTAGAAAACTTTCTCCTACAATGCACATGTACACAAGTCTGCCTCGCCCACCGCCGCGCACTTATGGGGCTTGCAGAGGTGGCATTTTGCGAAGGCAGGCTATCCGACGCCATGGATATCCTACAGAAAATCGTACAGATGTTCGAGGGAGAACGTTCAGACGATGTCTTGTGGTATACTGCGTTGAAGGCCGTTGTTGCAAGCACGCAGGGGGATCATGCCCTTGCAAGGGAGTTCATCTACAAAGTCCCAGAATCCCTCCAATTCTTTGAGCTGCGTAGTGCATTCGTATTTCTCCACAGATCTTATTGCTCTGCATTCATCGAGCTCACTGCGGGCGCATACGACAAGGCCGAGTCCCATTTCATCGCCACCATTGAAGGTTGTGATATCCAAGGACATCTTCATTTGAAGGCGTACAGCAAACGAGGACTGGGGGAGATTGCCTTTGTGTGTGGCGACTTCGCGTTAGCTGCACGATGCTTCACAGAAACACGGTCTTTGTGCACTGAGATGGGAGTACCTGAGCAACATTTGTACAGTTGTGATCCGTTCGGTGTTCTGCCAGACAGATTTATTGCATGGACAGTATTTTTAGAGGGTCAGTCTCCATTTGCGAACATTATGTAGATCATATACATGTACATGTAATAGCAGCCTGCCATTGTGTCTCGGACGATCGTACGAGTAGCTTCATCATGATATATCTATGAAAAAACAGTGATGAGACGGACGCGGGAGATGAGTGAAGCGGAATGCATGGAACTTCAAGTGCGTACTGAGATTGCTATGACACGGGAAGGCTGGTATACAGATTTGTTACATAGAGAACGTGTTTGTTCTTATCACCACATATCTCACTTCCACTTTTATATGGTAGTGCACGAGCTGGATCTGCGACATTTCCTTAGATCGAAGTATTGAAATGACAAAAACTCACGATAGGTAATTGCTAGTCTCCGATAGGCTAGACCAGTAGAGAAAAATAGTCGAAAGGCGATAACTACGCACAAGTCATTCATCTCATATTCTGCGACTGTGAGCTCATTCTCGCACGCGTCATGTAGGTGCTATCCCATGAATCACATTGGCTCATCTGCACCTTTAAATCGACGATGACCCTCCAGCCTAAACCGGTCGAGTGGGCACGCAGTTTTCATGAATTACCCAGATTCATATTTGCGGTGTTGGTTCACCAATGGGAATATTTGGGAGAGGTTCAGGACATTGGCCTCGCGTCGAACCTAGGAGTCCGGTCGATCGGCGTAGCATTCGAGTGGGATGGAATAATTCACGTTCGTCGGAACTCGGGACCTCTGCAACTCTGGCAGCGATATGAGGTGCACTGGCGGGAAAATAGGTAAAGCATATTACATGGCTATCAGATTGCCCATGAGAAAAATAAACTCACTGGTTGCTGGTACGAGAGTTGAGAATATGAATGAATTCTCAAAGTTCAAGTTGAGATGGTGCTACCCGGCGGCATGGATGAAGATCGTAGCAAGGAATATGTTGAATTTTCTGTCACCTGCTCTGTGAGGCAACTGTGTAAAACTGACTTCCTCATGTTTGTTAGCACATACACTAAGTAGTAGAGTAGCTCGCCACTAAAATACGAAAGACACGGAAAAAACAAGCTCAAATAACAAGCGCTGTCTGTATAACTCGCAGAACTATCAACAGGTCTAAGCTTCATCTGTCTGGCTAGCTGTCTCACTGGCTCCAGGTCGCGCTTTGAATGTATGTATACGAGATAGTGATAGTGATTCCATTGAGATCGCCGATCGGTCGTCGAGCCAGAGCGGTCGCTCCGCGCTCACTTGAAGATTGAACAGTATTCGAGAAGCAAGAACACTGTGCGCAACAATCTGAGGTCTACAATGAGGAATGTGAGCTTTCGACGACACATATCTACCTATAATTGAGCGGACTAACGCGTTTAGCGTCTCGCTGTAAGAGAGCTAGGAAGTCTACTCAGTTCTTTGAGGTCAACAAAACAAAGAAAGAACTCACAGGCAACACAGCGATAATCATCACATTAAACATAGATATCGCTACAGAGATGTTAGCACGAAATTAGTAGTAACAATGGTGTTCATACTCATGATGCAGAACATGTATAGTAGTCCATCACGATAGATACTCCTCACCAGTGCACTATGAGAACCCAGATAGTGTCGATATCTTAAAAATACAGTTGTGGACATGAGAACTGGGAGTGAATTAGAATTATCAAGTGGGGAATTTTGGATAGAATAGTCGCCTCACCTATCTCGAAAAACATCAAGAGTCCATACCCGAGGGTACTGCTACGAGCCCCCTCCAACACACAAGGGGGGCCGACTGAAAGGAGATGAATACTCAGACTAAGAAGCGAGCTTCGACCTTGCCTCCTGGGATGTTCAAATTGATGGGGGCAGCACTTAGAATCGCACACGTCACCAAGATGGCCTGTGCATACAGGTCAGTGGAGCACAGTGGAATGGAGATATTGTTGTACCAAACCAAAGGAGAGAAGAATAGTAAGATAAGCCTTTTTATTGCCAGAGAAGGCGTAGACCCTGAAAATCAATAGACCTGTTGTGCGACTATAAATGCGTACTTCAACGTGAAATGCGAAAACCAACCTTCCGAGGCAAGGATGCCCAAGAAGTGTATGCCTGCAAAATGTCATCGCGACGTCATGTCATGGGTTATGTGGACCAACCGTTTACAGCATCGTTGAAAGGTGCACACTATATGTTGATGTGAGTTGTGATCGGCACTGCACAGATCAAAGGTGTGCTCACATCTTGCGTGCCCCATGTCTTGATAGCGGCTGGTCAGGAATTCAGCTTTTGCATATTAGCGCGCACCGGCGTGACTTACAGTACGAGGTCATAAGCGCACCAGCAAAAGGTGCATATCGTGAAATCGTGAAGGTGGTCCGAATGAGTCCCCACTTCCGTCCCCGAGTCCATCGGACCTACGACAAATATCAGCACCAAGGTACGAGTGGCTGATTATTCTGACTTCGGAATGTAAGGTGACAAAGTAGTCATAAATCTGGTCACACAGAGTCAGCTATAATAAAATTGAAGAGACATAACTTACTAGGATTGCTGATGCAGCGACTTCGGAGAATCGTGAATAACGATAAGATTGTTACCAGCCCGACCTTACCGTTAGTGTACTTGAATAGATGGAGGGATTAGAGAAAGGTTGTTCAAAAGCACGGCTGGATTACCTTGGCTAACTGTAAACCGAAAGTGTCTGGGGCTGACATTCTCGAGGGTAAACGGAGGTCTGCACTGTGCAGCAAGCAGTTGCCAATAAGTACTGTAGCGTGCTGCACTGCAACACGGCAGCTGTGATTGTCAACAGCAAGTATCAAGGGTATTTGTGATGATCATGATACTATATACGATGCCATGGGTATTGAATTGAGGTAGGTGCACTGCGCATGATCGGATTCTTAAGTATTTTAAGCCTGCGCACCGGTCGTTTTGTTCATCAATACTAAATCAAATGCTGCGCTATATAGTATTAGTATTCGTGGCTCGATTATATAAGTAGAACCTCAAATCTCATGATTCGGGTCGCGGGCCAGGGAGGATGTCACTGTCGACCCAATCAATTGAAGGAGTACTAGTGGAGTGTATGTGAGCATTGAAATCCTCGGAGGATTGCCTTTTGGCATGGTAACCTTTCTTTGGCCGCAGAGCGCATCAGGGAAAAAAGGTCTTTGTGCGCTGAGATGGGCAGTGCTTCTCTAGTAACATTTGTACGGTTGCTCGCCATTTAATACTTTACCAGACAAATCTGATTCAAAGCATGGTGATTATTCCTGGAAGGTCTGTCGCCATTTGCAAATGATAATACGTAGATGATATATGTCAGCCTGCGGTGATATTTCATGAGCAGTGTATCGTATCCATGGCAAGGCAGTGAGACAAACATCAGATATACGCACAGCTTTGGAGATCTCGTGTTAGTCCTGTCAATTTCTGCGCGAGCACTAGCTTATCACACGTTCCAAGTCCTCTTCATGCCCTTGAATCACTGCAGCCAAGTTTCCCGCAATTCGCCAAGTTGGCTATTGGCTCGCCCACCCAGAGGTTACTGACTCCAATCCTCGAGTTGATCGGATGCGTACTTCGCACCGCCTTATGTTCTCGTTCAGTTCCTCGTGGATTGTACCGCTTAGGTTCAAATCTCCAGCGTTGGTTCGCCACAGCAAGGATTTAGGGCAAGGCTTGTGGCGAGGAGTCGTATGAATAGGTATATTGCCTGAGAGACGTATACCTGTTCGTTGGGGATTTAGTATGTCTGGGAGAGAGGAAGATGGAAGAAACATACGGCTATCAGCTCTCCCGAATAATGGAGTAAGGTTGATGGTCTTCTAGTCGAGGATGCAAATGGATTTGGCTTTGAGTCGGAAAGAACAGCAGAAGATTATAGAAGGGATGTGTTGGAATGGCATGTGCTGAAGACGAGGTCTAATGATAACAGCTGACGATGTGACATTGAATGAGAAGAGTCGATACGTGGTTCTAATCAGAGGGCTAGCTAAGCTGTTCGACTGTGAGTCCGCATTTAGTGTCATATATCTTGAGAAGGTCAGACTGCTCACTGCGGCAGGCTCCTCTTTGAGCTTTATTCAACAACAACTTGAAGCGTGCACTGCTAAGGTGGTGCATTGTCTTCTTTTGTACACGTAGAATTACATAAAATCTCTTCGGATGATCGGAGTATATTGATCGATCGATCATCGACTCGCCGGAAGCAATGAATGTGTCCTAGTATCAACGTTCAACATTGGACGCGACGCCGCAGTACCACGGTCATGAAATTTCGAAAACTTGGTGCGAGCGTGGTCACCAATCAACTAACAGAGAGTTACTGGTTAGGCTCTGGCGACAAGCAGAGAATGGTACTAGTATCAGGCGCCGGGATGTTATACATTTATAGTGTGCTGTTTCTCACCTTCGACACAAGCCTGCAGAGACGCTCACTCAATAATCGACTGAACCCCAATGGAATACAGTCCAGGATCTACCACACGACTTCAGCCTGAGGTGATGCCATCCAAAAGCCCAAAGTCAAGAAAATCCAATGAATCGAAGGTAAGAAGGAACATCTTTGGCCGTCACTGTTTGATCTAACATCATGATAGAACAACCCACATACTAAACAACCCTCTTCTGAAATTAAGGAGTCACAGGCCGAAAATATGAGCCAACTGCTGAATGTCACTATAGCAGGCATCAACGCCGTACAAACCGTCGTACCTAGTGACCTGGCGAAAGGTATACTCGGAACAGTCGCCAATATCCTGATGGTTGTGCAGGTGCGTCAGTGTCACTCTCTTGAAAATGAGGTTAACACATCCTGACGTCCGTATAGTCGGTGATCAAGAACAAATCCGATTTCCGGGCGATAGTCAATAAATGTAAGACCATCGGGGAAATTCTCGAGAGGGTGACCAAAGACACTACCAACGACAATCTGCCAAGATATTTGGTCCATGCTTTATCGACACTTAATTCGTAAGCAAACCCAATTCTACTGTTGTCAGAAACTAACCACGCTAAGCAGATCAGTTAACGATATCAATAATAAGGTGGTCTCAAGGAAGGAGCAAGGATTGTTGAAGAGGTTCTTCTCTGCCACGATTGATCGCGACCAGATTGCTAGTTGGGAAAAGGACATAGGCAGTGCCCTCGAACTCTTCAATGTACGTCTCTGTGACTCGACCTGAACTTCTACTGCTGAATGACATTTCAAGACTGAAGCGATCGCTGGCATTGCCATGAAGGTGGAAAGGCTTACTTTGGGACTCGACGGCAATAACACTAGTGCCAATATTCTAAAGTAAGTTGTTATTTTCTGCGGGTTGTGAATATCCTCTAAACGCAGTCAGGTATCACTCAATCGAGCCTCCATCACGACCTTCCATGTTTTATGGCCGCGATGATCTCGTGGCAGAGTTGACGGCCCTCATTGTCAACGGTGAACACATTGCATTGATCGGTCCGGGAGGCATGGGAAAGAGTTCTCTTGCCACAGCCATCCTTCACGAGCAGCTTATCATCGACAAATTTGCTGATCGGCGCTTCTTTATGGCTTATGATGATCTAGATCCTTCGACCATCACATTCGAAACTTTCATGACTCATTTCGCGGGAGCCCTTGGCATAGAGATCACCGGCGCTGATCCTTTGCGCCCAATATCTACCTTTCTTCATTCCGCTAGCGCCCTTGTCGTCCTCGATAATGCCGAGACCTTCGAAGAGGCCAGTGCGTTGTCAGCGCTCGAAAAAATACCACCAGCCATTGCCAACATTGCAAATATCCCTGGCGTTGTTCTGATCCTCACGTCACGCAGTCGAAGGAATGCACCGAACGTGCGATGGATAATGAAAGATATGCCGCCATTGGACTTGAGTTCTGCAGAAAGACTGTTCTTTCAAACTTATCCTCGCGCCCGTTGCAGCGAGTCCGAGGAAGAAATAAATGACCTGCTGAGGGAATTGGATTTTCACCCCCTTTCCATTAATTTACTCGCACACACTGCGCAGCAAAATGACTGGTCTCCAGCCGTACTGCTGAAGAGATGGAACGATCGGCACAGTGCCGTGCTCAACCCCGGCAAGGGAAAGCTGCAAAGCTTGTCAGACACCATGCAGCTGTCACTCGACTCACCATCCATCCAAGCTCTTGGCGAGGATGGTCGTCGTACTTTAGCCATAATCGCCTTCTTGCCCCAGGGTCTCAACGACAACCTAGCTGGCGATTTGTTGCCATCGCTCCAAGAAGTCGACACTATATGCGATGTTCTACGCATGCAATCTCTTGTTTATCGTCAAGACAACTTCATCAAGGTGCTCGCGCCCATTCGACATTATGTGCAAGATTCGTTGCCACCACCTGATTCCACACGTTTGCGAGAGATACGCACCTTCTACTATCGCACCGTCCAGCAGTGTTCGGAAGAACAAGACGGTCATGCTAATATCATTATCTCGGATCACTTCAACATCGAGCGTGTCGTTGCTTTCGACCTCGCCCATATCCCTGAAGAGACTTATCGCGCTTGCCCAAAATTTTTGAATTGCTTGAAGTGGCATCTTCCTCGCCCAACTACCCTTACCCCCGCTATTTTCAATATCATCGAGAACTCCTCCACGTATAAGCTCAAAGCATCCTGCTTGTATAGGCTTGGCTGGCTCTACGACACTCTCTCCCAGCACACAGAGGCAATGAAGATTTTCGAAGCTGCTGGGGCACTCTATCTCGCCACCGGCAACCACGAAATGGTGGCCCAATGCGTTACCACTTGTGCAGACAGATACAGATGTCAAGGCCGCTTCATTCAATCCCAACAGCTTTTAGAGGGCTTTCAACGCTCCGAGTCGTGGGAGTATCTCAGTGAACCAACGAAAAGCCGAGTTTGGTATTTCTTGGATAGGGCTCGGATGTACACATTCACAGCATCTGCGGACGAATTATTTGTGAAGTCCTCGGACTCGGAAGATCACCGCATTGGCTTGTCGTCCAAGATTTCGCACTGGCGGGCCAAACGCTACTACAGGCAAGACATTGTCCAGGTGAACGAGCGCTTAAAAGACCTTCTCCTACAATGCACATGTACTCGAGTCTACTTCGCCCGCCGCGACGCACTTAAGGGGCTTGCAGAGGTGGCATTTTGCGAAGGCAGGCTATCCGAAGTCATGGATACCCTACAGAAAATCGTACAGATGTTCAAGGGAGAACATTCACACAATACCTTGTGGTATATCGTGTTGAAGGCCGTTGTTGCAGGCAAGCAGGGGGATCATGCCCTTGCGAGGGAGCTCATCTACAAAGCTCCAGAATCCCTCCAATCCTTTGAGCTGCGCAGTGCATCCGTATTTCTCCACAGATCTTATTGCTCGGCATGCATCGAGCTCACTGCGGGCGCATACGACAAGGCCGAGTCCCATTTCATAGCTGCCATTGAAGGTTGTGATATCCAAGAACATCTTATTTACAAGGCGTATAGCAAACGGGGACTAGGGGAGATTGCCTTTGTGCGTAGTGACTTCGCGTTGGCTGCACGATACTTCACAGAAACACGGTCTTTGTGCACTGAGATGGGAGTGCCTGAGCGACATTTGTACAGTTGCGATGTGTTCGTTGTTCTGCCAGACAGATTTATTGCATGGACACTATTTATAGAGGGTCAGTCGCCATTTACGAACATTATGTAGATCATATACATGTACATGTAACAACAGCCTGTCATTGTATCTGGGACGATTGTACGAGTGGCTTCATCATGATATATCTATGACAAAACAGTGATGAGACGAACGCGGGAGATGAGTGAAGCGGAACGCATGGAACTTTAAGCTTCAAGTGTTACTGGGATTGCTATGACACGGGAAGGCTGTGATACAGATGTGTTATAGAGAACGCGTCTGTTCTTATCATCACATATCTCACTTCCACTTTCATATGGTAGTGCGCGAGCTGGATCTGCGACATCTCCTCAGATCGAAGGTTTATGAAAAAAGATGACAAAAACTCACGATAGGTAATTGCTATTCTCCCATGAGCTAGACCAATAGAGAAAAATAGTCGAAAGGCGATAACTACGCACAATTCATTCGTCCCATCTTCTCCGAGTGTGAGCTCATTCTCACGCGCGTCATGTAGGTGCTATCCCATGAATCGCATTGGCTCGTCTGCACCTTTAAATTGACGATGATCCTCCAGCTTAAACTGGTTGAATAGGTGTACGGTTTTCATAGCGTGTATTACCCAGGTTCATATCTGCAGTGTTGGTTCACCACTGCAAATATTTAGAAAAGGTTCAGGACACTGGCCTCGCGTCGAACCTAGGAGTCCGGTCGATCGGTGTGGTGTTCGAGTGGGATGGAATAACACATTCGTCGGAACTCGTGACCTCAGCTGCGACTCCGGCAGCGATATGGAGGTGGCGGGAAAATAGGCACAGCACATATGGCTATCATATTGCCCATGAGAACAATGAGCTCAGTAAATGGTACGAGATTTGAGAATATGAATGGATTCTCAAAGTTCAAGTTGAGCTCGAGGTGGTGCTACCCGGCCGGCGTCGATGAAGAATCAAGATGTGGTAGCGAAAAATATGCTGCTGTCACAACTCGATGTGACATGCGCGTCTAGTAGTATCACATGATGTGACACAATTCTTTTATTTTGGCCCTAAGCTTGACTCTCGTCTCGAACAACTCTCGAAAGGTTGAGATCTAGACCCCATGATAGACGCTGGTGCGTTATCATGCATGCTGTGCAGTTTCTCACCCTCCAGTGACTTGAAGCAGGTGGAGGCATTTCACTCCATGACTGAGATCTGAGACTCGGAATCCACCACACGCGTCCACTGGCAGGTGATGAAGCCGAAAACAAGAAGTTCTAAAAAGGCAAAGGCAAGAAGACACAAAGTTAGTGTCAGCGCCGTATGTTTGATCTGACATAGAACGGCCCAAACGTTAAGGAGCTCTCCTCTGAAACCAAGGAGTCGCTGCAGGACGATGATGCGATACAACTGTTGGATGTCGCTATAACGGCAATCAATATCACAAAAGACCTCGTACCCATCGATCTGGCGAAAGGTATCCTTGGAACGGTCGCAAATATCCTGATCATCGCGCAGGTGCGTTGACGTAGCCTTTGAAAATGTTCGTGAAGGATCCTGAGGTCTATGCAGTCAGTGATCAAGAATCAGTCCGATTTTCAGGCGATCGTCGACAAGTGCGAGACTATCAGGGAAATCCTTGAAAGAGCGACCAAGTATGCCACTGACGACGATCTGCGAGGATACTTAGGCCATGCCTTATCCCAGTTGAACAAGTGAGCCGAACCAAATTCACCTCTGCTACAAATTAATGGTGCCATGCAGATCAGTGAATCGTATCAATAGTGAAGTAGCCTCAAAAAAGGAGCAAGGATTTTGGCAGAGGCTCCTGTCTGTCACGAGTGATCGCGACCGCATTGCCGGATGGGAAAAGGACTTGGATCGTGTCATCCCACTATTCAGTGTATGTTTTTGGAACTCCTTTAGAGCTACGGTTACTGGATAATGTTTTAAGGCTGAGATGCTCGTTGGTCTCGCGATTGGAATGAACGCGCGGACCGTAGGACTCAAGGACAATGTTCATGGGAATGTCGAAAGGTAAGTTAACATCTCAGCGAACGTTGTGTATCCTCTAAAGGCGATCAGGTATCATCCACCAGTGCCCCCGTCACGCCCCTCTATGTTTTATGGACGTGAGGATCTCGTAGCGGAGATGACAAACCTTGTCGTCAACGATGAACATATCGCGTTAATCGGTTTTGGAGGCATGGGGAAGAGTTCCCTTGCCAAAGCTATCATTAACGAACCACCTGCCATGGAGAAATTTGCTGATAGGCGCTTTTTCGTGACCTATGATGGTCTTGATCCTTCGACCATCACCTTTGAGACTTTCACAACTCGTTTTGCGGGAGCCCTGGGCATAGAGCTTGCTGGTGCTGATCCTATGCGGCAAATATCTGCCCTTCTTCGTTCTGCCAGCGCCCTCGTTGTCCTTGATAACGCTGAGACCTTTGAAGAGGCCAGTGGATCATCGGCGCTCGGAGAGATACCACCAGCCATTGCTGACATTGCAAACATCCCTGGCGTTATCCTGATCCTCACGTCACGCAGTCGAAGGAATGCACCGAACGTGCGATGGATAACGAAAGATATTCCGCCACTGGACTTAAGCGCTGCTCAAGCAGTGTTCTTTCAAATCTATCAACACGCCAGTTGTAGCGAGGCTGGGGAAGACATACGGGACCTACTCAAGGAATTGGAATTCCACCCCCTTTCCATCAATTTGCTCGCGAACGCTGCGCAGCAAAATAGCTGGTCTCCAGCCACACTGCTGAAGAGGTGGAACAATCGGCACAGCAAGGTGCTGGACCCTGGCAAGGGGAAGCTCCAAAGCTTGTCGGACACTATGCAGCTGTCACTCAGCTCGCCATCGATACAGGACCTCGGCGATGATGCTCGTCGTCTTCTGACCATAATCGCTTTCTTGCCACAGGGCCTTAATGATACCCTGGCTAGCGATTTGTTACCGTCGCTCCCGCAAGTCGACATTATATGCGATGTCCTTTGCAGACAATCTCTTGTTTATCGTCAGGATAGCTTCATCAAGTTGCTCGCCCCCATTCGACATTATGTGCGCGATTCGTTGCAAGCACCTGACTCCGCTTGTTTGGGAGAGATACGTAACTTCTACTATCGCACCGTCGACTGCTGTTTGGAAGAACACGATCACTATGCTGATATAATTACCTCGGATCACCTGAACATTGAGCACGTAGTTGCTTTCGACCTTGCCTACGTCCCAGATGTCATCGAAGAGACCTATGACATCTGCTGGCAGTTTTTGTGGTGCTTGCAGAGGCATCTACCTCGCCCAACCATCCTTACTCCAATTGTTTTCAAAATAACAGAGAACTCCTCCACGCGGGGGCCAAAAGCATGCTGCCTGCAGTATCTCGGTGCGCTCTACACCACTCTTACCCAGCTCACCGAAGGGATGAAGGCTTTCAAAACTGCTAAAGCACTCTATCTTACCGTCGACGACCATGAAAACGCAGCACACTGCGTCGTCCAATGTGCAGATATCTACAGGTGTCAAGGCCGATTCATTCAGTCCCAACAGGTTCTGGAGGCGTTCCAACACGCCGACTCGTGGACATTTCTCAGCGAAGCATCAAAAGCTTACGTCTTGTATTTCTCGGATAAGGCCAGAATGTATACATTAACAGCATTCGTGGACGAATTATTTGTGAAGTCCGGAGAAGATCGCGACTGGGGCTTGCCATCCAATATTTGGTACTGGCGGGCCAATTTTTACCACGGGGGAGACTTTGTACAGGCAAACACGCACTTAGAAGACCTTCTCCCGCAATGCCCAAGTACTGGGGATCTTTTTGCTCGCAGGGACGTACTTGAGGGGCTTGCACAAATTGCATTTTGCGAAGGCAGGTTATCCGACGCAATGGATATTTTGCACCAACTTGTAGAGATGTTCGAGGGTCAATATTCGGACGGTGTCCTTTGGTACACCGTCCAGAAGGCTATTGTTGCGAGCAAGCAGGAGAATCATGACTTTGCGAGGGAGCTCATCCACAAATCCTCAGAGCCCTTCCAATTCTTTGCCCTGCGCAATGCACGTGCATTTCTCCACCGATCTTATGGCTCCGCACTCATCGAGCTCGCCGCAGGGGAGTACGACAAGGCTGCGTCTCAATTCACCGCCACGATTGAAGGTTGCAACATGCAAGGCAACCTGCATGCGAAAGCATTCAACATCCGTGGGCTGGGTGAGGTTGCCTTTGTGCAAGGTGACTTCGTTTTAGCAGCACAGCGCTTCGCAGAAACACGGTCTTTGTGCGTTGAGATGGGAGTGCCTCCCTACCATTTGTACAGTTGCTTGCCATTCCATGCTTTGTCGAGCAGATTCGAAGGGTGGGGGTTGTTTTTGGAAGGTCGTTCGTCATTTACAAATGTTATGTAGGTCATCATATGTGATGATTATGTGGTATACTGTATCCCCACATATTCAGATTGTGACACGAATCATAGGTACCAAGTCTCTTAACAAAAGAGATCTTGGTCAAACAAGTCCGAGGCTGAGGTTACGGCGAGTTGAACTCGCTTCACGACAAGGCTTTTGACTAGACTCAAAGTGTTTCGTCAATATCCTCGGTCTCCAATGCTTTCATCTGTCGATGTTGTAGTGATTCACTACAACTATCTGTAGGATCAAGGATGGCGTAGGTAGCATCGTGTTCGAAACGATCGAACAACTTGAGATTGACGTTTGCATTGGCCTGCCTCAGAAAGCAAGAGTAATTTGTTCGTAGATTTCGTGAATAACCGATAGCCATTAGAACACGACTCGGAGCGATATCATGATGGAATGGACGACCTCAGCACCAAATTTACGCGTGTGATTTGTAGAGACTTCAGTCTCTTGCGACGTCAGGCCGGGAGTTCATTGTTCTGTGGCAAATCAATTGAGCATGTATTGGACGTGGAGCATCAACGAGGAGGCACGTTAGGTGGGTTGCTATGACCTGAGATGATCCGAATCCAGCGTGATCCATTGCTTGTCTAGTAGTTTCTGTTCTCCTCATCTCCGAGTCGGCCACAGGCCTCTGCAAAACTAAAGAAAGATTGTGTCGACGCCCGCCTTTATCCTGCAGTGGTAAAGCTCCTGGATGCATTCATCCTAAGTCTTGCCCAGATGCGCAACTTCACTGTCGGATGGGAGCCAACTTGAAAGTACCAAGGGATACCGTGACAACGCGGTGTGACATGCGCTTCGACTGGTATCACATGACGTGACGACAGTCTCAAGTTGACCAAACTCAGTTTCTCATCTACCACCATCAGGTAACCGACTCGACTACGATAATTTCTTAGCAAGCTTTAACTGATCTAAAATTTGCACAATATTCATCATAATTGTACCCCATATGAGAAAGCTTTATATACCCGGACTTACTTGAATGGAACCCACCAAATCCACAGTCGTGACAGTCTAGTCACAATGGCCTGTCAGCTTGCCACCAAGATTGTACATATTGCAACACCTACCTGCCGTGACAATGAAAGGTTCAGTTGTTACGAGCGACCACTGTCACCTAGTTGATGACCAGCAGCAATACATCACATTTATGCCCTGCCCTGATCATGCCATGCAATCTTTGATTGTTTTTATTTCCTGTGAAATCTCTGAACAGATGTCAGTGACGGTTAAAATTTTATATGGCCGGACTATATTGGACCAACACTGCCTACAACCCAAGAGTGTCGAGTTTCTACAATGAATCACTAAGCCATGTCAGTCCGGTTGCCTTATGCAAGGGAGCTTGCCATTGCACTGTCGACAAGAATTTACTTGGTGCTCACGTTAGGTATGACATTGTGATGCTGGCCTGCGTTGCTCATATCTGCGAAGTACATAATTCAGGCTACAAGCGGCGGTGCGCTATCGAACCAGCCAATGTTGATAGCATATGATAGCCTGTACACAAATTCAGTTGTTTTTTTCGTGCTCTGCATTCTCTGTCTAGCTGCTGGAAGCTTCCAAGGCCAGACTGTTTTGGATGGGGGCTGCCTTCAGTCCCAAGGTGCGGAGGTATGACAATGCGGTGCCCTCCGTCAGCGATTACTTAGTTATGGCCATCATATGTAAAATGAACGAACCAAGACAAAATTTGCAAACACTCCCTGAACGACAGAATCTTCGAAAGCTTGGCTGCATCATGTCAAGGGTGCCATGGCGCTGGTACTGGCAATTCAGTCCCTTCTATCACCATGCAGGCAAACTATAGTGATCCCATGCAATCTTAGCTTGTTATTTCCATCCAGCCAAGTGCAAGCATAATGTTTGACCGCTGCAAAACACGACATTATTATAAACAGCTACTATTTCATAGCGTGTTAGAACAGGTTGTCATGAGGTCGCATGTATATTGATTATGAACAGACGATACTATAATTAAAACTACGAATGAATGTTATCCAAAACTGCAGCTCGTTTGAGGGCAATGCGCCTTTGTCGGATCTTGGATAAGGCGCTGTTGGCGCTGATAGGTCTTCTGGCGGCAGAGGAAGCAGGAAAAATTTGACTATGGAACATATCAGCCTTCATGACATGATGAAAGTGAAAGGTGACAAACATACCGATTCCACCAGGTCAGCAGCTCGTCAACTTCCTGGGATTCCTCAGGGTCTTCTAAGAGGTCTAGAAGGCTATGGTAAAACGTCTCGGAGTCTGTGGTTGTGTCGGTCCGCGAGAACACTGAGGATGAGCTGAGAGCGAATCGCACCTTCAGCGGTATGTTAAAGTGGTTCCGCTGCAGAAGCATGATGCTCGACGAACCTGAGTGGCAATATAGGCTATGGAGGCTATGGTGACAGAGTTCATTCCGTGGAGGCGAGCATTCCCGGATCGCGTGGCCTTCGGCTCCTTGTCAACCGAACTCGGAGACGTGAAGACATGCTTATAGGCCTGGTGCAATACCATGTAGTAAATAGATTATGTGAAAAAAACGGACGCGCACTCACACATGTCAGCAAGCGGCTCCTAAGAAGACTGGACCATGGATCTTCAGGATCATAGATGTGGTGGGCGTACAAAAAGATGGGCCACTGATCCCCACAAACAAGCATCTCACCACTTCGGAGGTTCTCTTTGGTCCTATAAGTACGAAAAGAATTTCAGGGCTGCACAAATGATGGAAGATCGCAACATACTGGGGGTCATTCCAATCCAACCCAGCGGGACAAAGCAGTGATCCCGTAAGTTCGTGATTAAAACCACGGTCAATCTTGGAATTTCTGTGTAAAGGGGGCTGTATCGCTTCTCCTTTCGGGGAAATCCAGTCGAGGATCGCAGATTTCAATGTCTTTGTATCGTCGCCTCTAGCGCCTGCGGCTCCCTTGCCGACCTGTAAATTATAAGAACTCTCTCTCGCTGCACTGAAAAAAAGTGTACCAGCTCTCCTACGTGAAGGATCTCTTCCTCAGATCCACCTTTCAAGCGCTCCAGAAGGCCGGGGTAGGAATCCAAGAGCTGCTCAAAGACACGATGTTCTCGTTGCTCTCTGCCAAGCACGTCAGTCATAAGGCGAATATCAAATGCACAAATACTCATTCACTCAGCAGGAAAGTCCTCTAATGGGGTATCCTCCATTTGCTCAAGTCTCAAGATACCGTTGGTGAGTAGGGAAGGGTAGTTGCATAACGCAAATACCGTTCGACCAAAGTGGCGTCCGTGGAAGACAAGTGGATCAGATGAGGAGCTGAGGGATGGAATGAGGCTATGTAGCTTGTGGTCAACATGGGGACTACTTACACCTTTTTTCGAGGAGCCATTGATAAGGCCGACGAGCTGCGTTTGCTCGGGATGCTGGAGGTGGCGTCCTGGATGGTCATGAAAGGAAGGAAGTGTATCCCAGGTTTCGCAAATAGACCGGAAGTAGCTTTTATCTCTAGGGCTTGCTATATGTAATACCCAGGGAAGCTGGCGGCCAGCGGTGGCTGAAATGAATGACGGCAAAGAATGGCCATAGGATAATGACGGCAGAAGCTGGCCACGGTAAATGGCAGCCAAACGGTGGCCAGGCGATCTCGGCCCAACTGTCGGCTGTGTACCACAATGTGTCAACCTTGAGCTAGGATAGAGAGTTTGTAAGTTGATGATTAGAAGAAAACGGGGCATGCCATCATGAAGTATATAGCTCCCTCTGCATTTGCTCGTTGCAGCTCGCCACCGGTAGAATACGCTCACCTAAGCTCGATATGCCACAATCCGGGCGTCAAACCTTAAAACTGCGAGGACGCAGTATCGACTTGAACCTACGGCAAGCCAGATAACATCCACCTTGTGTCGAAACATCCTGACAGCTTTACTTAGAATCGAGTTAGTGCATAGTGCTACTGAAAGCGGCGAAGAACTCGCCATAAACACGACCAGCCGTTCCCGAAGCTCGTCATGGAGTAGTGAGGCGAGTGTTGATGCCACGTCGTGGAACGGCGGGGCTCCTCAGCCTGCGAACGAGCACGAGAAAGACGAGGTAGACTCCATGGCCAAGCTGAAAGAGCGACTGCAGCTGGCGGAGAAGATCAACTCAAGGCTGGAACAGCTGTATCAAAAGTATAGACTTCGTTGGTTGGAGGAAAGCTATCGGGCAAGGGTATTGGAGGAATACGCACCGGAAGGAGTCAGCACTTACCCTCCACATCAGATCTCATGGAATGCTCCCTCTCCTGCTCAAAGTACGTCAAAAACACGTTTCCGTGAAGCAAACTGACCATACCGTTCAGGCGAATACTGTGACAATGCCGAGGTTCAGGACCAAGAGTAAATGCAGAGGGTGATCGTGCTATTGTTCAACGCGGTGAACTACGATCTGTAGCATCTCCCTAATTCATTAGTCAATGTCTCGAATCAGGTGATACAAACGTACCTCATCATAGAGGTGGAACCCGCAAGATAGGCGAAGCCCGCGAGCACGAATTTTGCATCAGTATGGGCGATTGGTAACATCTATGAATATCGCCGAATCAGTGACGCCCAAACAGAATGTTGAAGTCTCACGTATGATGCGAGGTAAGGAGTCTCAACTTGAATAGGCTGAGCTTGATCATATCTTGTACTCGATCTGCTCTCCAGCCCCACGATGGAGGCTAACATGCTGGAGTAAAATCAACGATCCTGTTCAGGCACTTGCACTGAAATACTGGATGAGTTTCTCTCCGTTCAATTCCCAGATCATTCGCAGCACCCCGTGAGCAGCAGGATGTTGAGGACTATGCAGCCCGAGTCACGAAGGTATGCACGCGTCGCGATGTATGAATAAAAACTCCGACCGAATTGATCTGAGCGGCTGACCTCGGCTGACACGCCCCCAGACTGTCCATCACGATTAGGTAGACTTTCTGGTCAATTCAGTCAAGCCAACGTCCAGAAGAATTGCTCACCGGTAGAACACCGCAACTTCACGTCAATTCTGGTCCCAGTCTCTTTCAAAATCTCTGCCCTGACCATGCCGTGGCAGTCTTCTAGTATGAGCTCATAGTACAGATTGTTGGGGAAGGGGAGGGGGAGATAGTGGTGAACAAGACGAAGGTAGTATGTGAAGGCACTTTATCAATATCTGAGTTACTCGAAGATAGTTAAATTAGCTTCAAGTTGAGATTCCTGCTAATAGAAGCGAAAGTTGACTCAGCCCATTGCATATTGAGTTTTGTTACTAACGGCCTCCAAACGGCCTCCACTGTTACACTGTTTACACACTACTGTTTCATATGGTTGATACAACGCAGAATACAAGGCGAAAATAATTCATGAAGGCCAGGGCGCCGGTGGGAGGGCCAAAAAAACAATTCCATGCGAAAAAAAAAGATAACGTTATAATCCCAGTCCAGAGTCCAGACTACTCAGTTGACATCATCGAATGTCGAAGTCTTCACAATTTCCAGTCTTCGTAGTCTTCATAGCCCTCTGAACCATCGTCAACTTCCTCGTCCTCGTCGTAACAGTGCGCTGCCTTGCATAGAGGTCTTCGAATGGTTGTGTCGAGGGGTGTTTTTGAACCTGCTAGGGCATCAATTAATGGAAGGGAATATGATCGGCTTGTACCTACTGCTGCCACAGAGATCGAACCCATGGGCATTTTCAATGGCCACGTTATAGAGTTCAATTTCAGCTTCGGCGCGGCGCGTCTTGGACTGCAGGATTAGTAAATCCAGCCCAAGGTTGCGCAGATAGGTGTTATTGTGCCTGGTAGCAAGGGACATCGTCATCAGTTCTGCCTGCATGTTCAGTTCTTCTTGGAATGCATTGTAAAAGGCCTCTTGGACATCGGTGGTGACCCATGTGCTCGAGAGGGGTAATGAGGGGCTAATGCACTGTAGAGATGCGGTGAGAATAGCTAAGCAGGTTGTCGCGTTACTGACGTTCAAACTGATGGGTGCTCGCCTTTCTTCCTGCGAGGCGAACCAAATTTCAGATTCTGCAACTGAAATGAGGTGGGTATCAGTCCCTCGTCAACCAAGCCTCCCACATTCCTCGTGTTGTTATCGAGCAGGCCAAAGGTGCACAGGGTAAAGGTGCACAGTGTGTTGGTACAACCGTTTGCCATGAGTTTGGTGGGGAAGGCCTGATGACATGCCTAGGTCGAATGCCAAGACGCGCTACGCATAGCAGGAGGGTTTAGACCGTACATTCGCATGCAATTTGAAAGAAGCTCACACATCCGATGTTGCTCCAATAGTTCGATAGCCTGACTGTATAAAGACACCTCCATCTGACACCGCTTCTTCCTCTCATCCATGAGCATTCGCTCTACGGTTGCATGCCTTTCTTCGTCCCCACTGGTACAGGTGCTCTGATGTCTTCGCAGAATTTCCTCCTGCGTCGCCTCTATACTGCGCTCCCCGACTAATTCCCAAAGATCGCCAGGATAGACGCGATCTTTCAGCAAGAATGACAGGACGTATAGTTCTGTCCGGAGCTGTATGTTATCTTTTTTTTAAAAAAAACACAAGGGCATGAAACTACCCAACCGACCTTCTGGCTTGCTATGAATCCTATGTAGGTATCTAAAAATTTATTGCCTAGTGCGTTTGAGAGCTCGAAAATGCTCGCGCGAGCACTTGAGTAATCGAATACCTCCGGTGAAAGGCAGGTTGACATGATGAGTGTACAGTGCGAAGCACGCAAGGCGTGGTGATACTATTTATTCATAAACGGGGATTGAACGCCTGAGAATTGCGGAGACGCGGATGCTTTACTGGTTAGAAGCTCTGGCCATCAAAAACTCTGGCCATCAAACTCACTGGCCATCAAACGCACTGGCCGTATCAACAAGAGTCAAATAGTGTCGTCATTATTTCATTATTCAGACTCACAAGTGACGCTGAGTGCACCAGATGCGCAGGACCTACATAGAAGATTGTATAGTCACATGTGCTGCGAATCAATACACGATCATATATACACCTAGAGACGTATCCTGAGACAAAGATGGAAGACCTAAGTTCACTGTAAGCATGTAAAAGGTCATACTAAAAGTGCAAGGGAATCGGTGGGCTAAGGAGACCAAGCCCGACCTGCCAAATGATAGACTCGTGGGCAAGATGAGTGACATACTTGCTGAAACAGGAGAGTGGGGAAGGGTCGTTGTAAATCGAGGGACTTCTTAGACGAGATCTAGAACCGACCTAAGAAGCTGAGTTATTAGTACATGCATTACGACTATGGCCAACTTTAATACAAAGAATGCATCTCGAACACACGAATGTGTATCGATTCAGTGTACGCAAAAGACGAATGGTGACCTTATCCAAAAATGCGGTAAAGGGTCAAATGCAGGCTGCCAAGCAAAACTCACTTGTTTGCATCACTAACGCGGGGTTCGGTTGAAATGTGGGTCTGTGGAGCGGAGTATCTTTGGGTTACATACAGCCGCTGAGGGGGTGCTGCTTCGAGGTTCTCACTTGCGCCCAATGTGAAGTATAGATCAGACAGATTTCAAAGCTATCTTGAAGGCTCGGAGAGCCAATGAGCAAACCTGGATGGAGAATGGGAACGTGCTTGATAAGGGCGGCAGGTAGCAGGCACAAAAGAGCCATCGGGGGATGAAAAAGTTATGAGGAACGTTGAGAAGAACTGTCTGTGCAGTGTGCACGCTGCACAACTATAGCTGACGTAACAAAACTCTGACCAAATTGAGCCGAGCGGCTGACACTGCACTACCGGAATCTGTGACAGACTTGTTCCCCAGACTGTGTTTATAATACAAATGTTCTGTTACATGTTACATGTCATAGCTGGCTGGTTGGTAGTAGTACAGTGTACAGTAAAAAATTGGTACAAGAACAGAAGGAACACTACAGCCTAAGCACCTGTGAAGTATGATTCGGGTACATCCCATACTGATCTGAGAGACTTTTCGTAGGTAAAACCACCATTATTCGGAACTTCGCCGAACACGTTCATGCTAGCATCATTAGTATTTGACTGAGTGTCGATATCGACAACGTCCAACATTCTCCTCCTTCTTGACCTGTTCGAGACGAATCCTGGGCGTTGCGACTTGGGCTCGATGGGCAGGACGTTACGCTCCCTGAATGTAGATTGTAATGAACACATGATGCCTAAACGGCAATGCAGCGTACAAAAAGAATACTCACATTAGGAAGGGAAGGGCCATTACCGCGCCTCTGAAGTCGGGATACAGGTGGGGCTGTGCATACATCTCGTCCAAGGCCGACATAATGATGACGTGCATTATGTCTGGTGTATGATAGTCGATGTTGCTCGGGTTTATTTCCTTCAAGACCATAGTCATGGTGCTGTAGATCTGAATTATCGACGCGGCATTTATCATTTCGATAAGCAAGGACAGAGGGAAGGGGAGCTTACGAAGGTTAAGAGGTTGCACACCGGCTGTTGTGCCAAGCACTTGAACTTTGAAAGTATCTCTTCTGGAAAGAGATCCGCTACCCTCCCATTGCGGCCTTCATCTCCCAACCCACTGATCGGACGGAGTAGGGACGCCCACAGGAGCTCTCTGAAAAGTTGCTCCACTATAAGTTCTGAAATGGCCCGTTGCACCTGAAGAACGAAAGGTAAGGTTAAATTGAGCCAGTGCAGTCTCCGGCCTCATACTTGATAGCGCTTGTCAGAGTTCAAAAGCGAAACGAAGTAGTTGATTCTTTCTTCCATATTGTGCACTTGGCAAAAATTGGTGTACACTGACATCGCACCTTTGATCACCTTCCTTAGCTCTGCCTTCACATTATCAAGGGTCTTAGCCAACTGCTTTTATTAGTTAGGAAGCGAACAAAGATAAGAGAGGCATACATTCACGCGGAATGCTTTCCAACCTACAGAGACGGTCTGTCCATCCTCGATGACAATCACTGGCCAAAATGTTAGCGACTCGTTGTGCCTAGGATGCAAGGCGCCCACCTTGCTGTGTGAGCATTTCCTCGTAGCTGGTGTTTATCATATCAAGCGCGATAAGGAAGCTGTTGGTGATCAAACGCCTTACGTCCTGCCGGAGAGACACTGAGTGAGTCTCTATCCTGCCCTATCCACAAAGCTCCCATGAAGAGCCACCTTGTCAGCAGCACGATACGTGGCCAAAGGGATTGCTTCATTTCACGGTTAAGGGTCGATCTTTGTGACTGGTTTAAGTTAGTCCACTCGCTAGCGTTCTTGTCTCTCCATTGCAGATCGGGATGAAAGTTGTTGAGGACTGGCTGCTCGTAAGATGCTTCTATCAGTTCATTTGACACTGGCCATGTTGACTCGCTGACGCTGCTGATAGATGTGGTAGTAGATAACCCCCAGTGTTGGTAGCCAAAATCCAAGTCCGCGTTGGACATGGGCTGGAGGTCAATGGTAGAGAATGCATCGGAGGACAGGGGTGTATCTAAGGGGTATGTCTCGACAATATTTGAGGAGGAGGCCTGGGCCTCGGACGTAGATTGTGCTGTTGGGGTGGCAGTGGGATATGCAGGGGGCGGATAACCGTACGGAAATGGTGCAGGGTGGAATTGAACTGATCTTGCCCGTAAGTTTTCGAGCTATCGATGTAACACTATAAATGCCATATAAGAGTGTTAAGAACGAACGACACTTACCGACCACGTTGGCAGTGGAACACCTTGGGAATTAGGTCTACAATAAGTGGAGCTGATCGCACTGATATAAGCACCACCGGCTGGCTAGGTTCTCTCTTCTAAAGGTGAACTGTCTAGCATAACAAAGCTCTCACCGTCATGTGGAATAAAGCATGAAGAACAAGCTGAGTGGTATCCGCCTCCTCGAGAATCAGCCACCCAATCTGGTAAAGTTGATGAAGCCAAGGTTGACCCTGCTTTAAAGCGGTGTCACACTGGAACGAATACGATGAGATGGGATCATTGGTTTTGAGGAAGACTCACATAGATTGGACTGATCTGGTAGTGATCAGCTAGATATCCGATGAGGTCGTATGATCCCTTAGTCAACATGACAAATGCGTGCTGAAATTAGCAAGTTAAAAAGAAACAACGGTCGATGGGCGTTGGCGAACCTCTTCATGCTAGAGGGAGGGCCATCAGCGGATGGTCTGTAGTACAGAGTCTAGCACTTACGTTCAATTGCACAAGTTGCTGAAGAACTTCTGGTCTTTGTGGAACGTATAGCCACACTGGGATCATTGATGAAACTGTATCCGGTTGGGGGAAGTGGCGGCTGATGAGGGACTATAAGTATGGCCAACGAAGTTAGTAACTATCTGCGAATTGACAACGCTGATCATCGATTAGCGAAGGCTACAATCAATTATTTTTTAGCCATTGATGGCCAGGTGATGGCCAGGAAAAACTATAGCTAGCGAGGGATCGGCCAGCATTTAGCATGCAAGCTGCGCCCTACCATATCGGTAAGAGCGACGGTCAGGTAAGAATGGCACCGAGCCGAAAATCAGCCAGTAAGTATATATTCTTCGATCAGAATAGGAGTCATCGCTGTAATGGAACATTAATTTTCGTAATCGAAGACATGCTCAACGAACATCTCATCAAGTGCGTCGATGAGTGACTCCCCGCTTGTGTTCTTTCCCAGCTCAAAGAAATCCGGCTCCTCGACACCAAAATGATCGCCCTCGTCCTCGTCATCACCAGGATGGCTGACGTCCATAGGGCTTTCCTCACCTTCTAAATGTCCATCTTCCATTGCGGCGGCTATCTGGGGGTGTGGTGCTGGCCTATGACCCTCATTTAAGGACCCTGGCCTATGCGAGTATACGTGGCCTACACCAAGACCAAAATGGAATCGCATGAGCATGTCCCGATCAACGAAACTATTAAATCGTAAGTTCCGCAGAGAATTCAATGAAAATCGCTTGCCTGTTGACGTAGTATTCCTTCCAATCGTGTTTGTCTCCCCCAAGAGGGGAAATCCCAACATCTGGGTTACACCGGCCTCGAGAGAAAGCCGGGATAATGTGACATGCCCTTAGAACATCTCCTGGGTTCACAAATCCAAAGGCGTTAGGGTTCTCCAAAGGTAGGAAGCGAACACGACCTAATGCATGCGTTTCCCATGCGTGGCTTTGGACCGATTCGTACCACCGAACGAACAGAAATTCCACCCGGCGAGCTTCGTACACGTTCTCCGCGCAAACGACATTCACATGATGGACGCCCAGGACTTTCGCGTATCGGTAGTTGCCATCATCGCCATCGCCATGCTGGAGTAGCATAACATTGCAATGAGGCGTCCTCGGGTTAATAACATCTTGAGCCCGTCGGACGTCGTACGTAGTATAATTTAATCGTACGAGGCTGTGATGATAAATTCGTCCACGCTTGAAAAGAATCGACAAACGTTCATGGTCAGAATGAGGGGGTGTCTCCAAGGAAGGTTCAGAGATCCTAATGCGATCCAGAATATGATCTTTCAAACACGGTAGGAAGTCCTAAGCAACAAGTCAGAATGGCGACCGAGTTACAAGAAATATAGATACCTTCATAGCCGGATCTCCTGCATGACTACGGAGGTAATGGCCAAACTCTTCAAAAATTTTCTCACTTTTCCCAATATGATGGTGCAACTGGGGGTCGCTCGCAGTTTCGTCTGACTTCACATCAGGGGTCCGTTTTCGCTGCCGTTGCTTGATACGGCGTAAGCGTGTTTGACGGCGCTCAATCTGAGCTAGCTGGTGAACGAAGTCCCTGCGATCGGTTCGGCGGTATCTGCATTTCGGCGTACGGTGTTCTAATTCTCCCTAATAGCATTTTAGTTGGAAAGCGGAAGGGTAGCACGTTGAGGACTTGCTGGTTCTGTGCTGTAAGAATCTGTGGTACCAAACCGACGGATGGAGGTTACATAATCCCCCAACGCATGAAATTTGTAGGTATGGAAGTTGAACGACTTCTTCTTCCTCGGTTGCCTTAGTTGAGGCACACCCTGCGGTTGCTCCAGGTTCGCCTTCTGTTTCCCTTTAGCATCGGCACCTGACCTAGGCCTTCGAGCTGCAGCTCCCTGCCCAATGCTATCCAACATGTATTTCTCCGCCCGTTTGGCGGTTTCTTTTGCCTGCCGACGTGATCGTGATTCAACTTCACGATCGAGCTCCTGGGTGTGATACGCATTGCACACCTTCGTCTTAAATTGACGAAATTGTTCACCGAGGTCGGTCGTTTGCTGGTCGAGAACCTGTAGGGTGAGGTCAGAATGCATACGTAATTTAGCAAGTCCATGCCAGTGGGCCATGATGAAAAGGAGATCGAGAAGGATTTTGTTGTGAGCGTCGGGGAGGAGGCCTTCAAAGACCGGGATAGAGCACTTGTACAAAATTAGTTCACAAATACCTATCGAGAATCATCCCAAAGACAAACCTGTAGAAGATCTTCGAAGTTCCGTGCAGCCATGTTGGACATTTCGGAGGTGTTGGAAGAGAACCGTCTAATAGTTGCTGACCCAAATGGGGGGACTTGCCTGTACCTGTCAGAGATAGGAATGAGACACTGGGCTTTCGTCGGACACAAATTTGACACCTCTTATCAAGTTCGTGGATGAGGTTCTTGTCCAATGCGCAAAGAATTCTTAGCAGATGGAGCAGGAGCATGCGCCATACCCCAAGCTCAAATTCGTGCAGAAGATCGACCACAAGCGCAGCAAACACATTGAATCCAAATGAACTAAGGCTGTCTGACAGCGCATTCTAGTCAATGATAAGCAAAGGCGACCAACAAGACCTATGATCATGCTCACTGAGTTCGGTACCCACGATTCAGGCTTGAGAAGCGACTCGATTGCCGTACTGTCAACGCCATAATTCCTCTCATAGATGAGACTACGTGCTGCAGCAACAGGCTGACTCCTTGAGGCATAGGACCGTGCCAGTGTTGAACGTTGTTGCCGATCGCGACTCATCCCCAGATGTTGGAGCCGAACGGTTGGTATCAGACACCGTGGGCAAGGACAACCTCCCAGCTGCCGAATAGTTGCAACAAGAACCCTGACTTTGTGAGCTCGGATTCCTTATGAATAAGTTTCACTCACTTCTCAGGATAGTCCGCCGAGTATGTGAATATTCGCGGGTAGAACCTGCGTTTGATCCCATCACAGCACAGGAGCACGATCCCATGCTCATACGCCGCTAAAAACTCATCGTCAAGCAGGACCCTCCATTGAGCTTGAAATAGTTCGCGTTGGCAATGGGTCGTGCATTCCCGACCAACTCCCTTGCCTTCAGTATAGGTGCCTGTAAAGTCTTTGAACGAGTCCGGAAGCTGCCAAGATGTGAGCTTCAACATTAAGGAGGGAATCAATTCAGAAGAGGCATCATACCTTTTGAAAATAGGCCACATGGTTACTCAAGTTGCAGGTCGGTTTACAACGGCGGTATTTGGACTCATTTCCAAAGTACATGTATACCGGCCAGAGCTTCGCATTACCGAATGTTGTCAGGTGCGTGGCGTCTGACCAAAACATGAGTGCAACAACCACTCGTGGTAAGTCACATCCTGCCTCTCCAGGGGACTCTTGAAGTTCTCGGTGCGCATCCATAAAGGCCGGCGAGGTGTACAGTTCACCTTGAATGTCGACTTCATGAGGAAGGTGAGGAGCGTTCCATCGCAGTTGGTAAGGTTCATAATGGAACAATTCGTCATCCTGAGCATTTGACAGCTTTTCCCTGATGATGGAGGTGAGAGAGCGATGGTACAAGTTTGCTGCGACGTAAGGTCGAGCGCCTGGCTGAGCTGTCGTTCGAGAAAAGGGTACTTCAATGGTTACTGGCGTTTTCTGCCAACCCGCTTCCTCATCCTCCCATTCGTCCCCCTCATCATCCTGAACGCTCGCACCTAACTTCGAGTTGATTCCGTCCCATGGCGTACTCCGGACGTCGTCAGGACGAAAATCTGGATCTCCGACGATGCCAATGAGCTCCTTGAAGCTTTGATGAGACTTTTGGGCACCACCATGCCAGTACCAATGGCCGAGCTCGAAAGAGGATTTGTTGGGGTAAGGGTGAAATGAAACGTCGTGATACTCGACGCGAGCATCTGGCTCTGCTGAAGTAGCAGCTTGGACAGAGCTGATATCTTGGAGTGTTACGGCTTCTTCTGGGTCGTGGGATGGGGGTGTGGGCGAGAAGAATTGGCGTACCAGTCCGAAGACGTTCCTAGCCGTACGGAATGGGGGTAGTCGCAAAGAAGTATGAGCGCTGGTAGATGCGTCTGTATGATTTACCGGTGGGTTAAGTCCGGGTGCTGGATTGGTATGGCCAGGCATAATGCTTGGGGGAGGCTGAGGAAGTACATCCTCGTACTGCCTATAGCGTAGCGGCATTGGGACGTCAACTCGTCGGCTCCTCCGCTGCGCCAGTGGCAAGTCCTGGTCTCCATCTATTTCTATAGGCACAGAGCCAAGACCGGTATCGAATGCTGAGGACAATGCATTTTCTTGCGGTAAGGAACCTGCATGCGGAACAGTCGTTTTGTGAGGGCATTCTTGACAGAGTCGGACACACGTAAGAAGGATCTGCACCGGATCTCCCATTAATTGAGTTAGCAGACGGATGCACACTTGAAGACGCTATGTTGAGGCCTGCATGCGGCCTACCATGGCTACGGTCCACTCGTGGCCGTTTTATAGAACCCAAAAGGTCCTTCGCCTTGGATAAGGCGGAGAACAATCGCTTCTTGCCCTTCAGTGCACGATCGTTGATGCCTAGTGTAGGCGCTCTCTTGTTGAAACTCACGCATACAGGTGCATCTGAAGGGGGTTGGAGTCGACGACGTATCTGCCCAATCCGGGGCCATAGGGAGGAAGGACTGACGAGGTAAGAATATGGTAGAGCCTAATGCTAAAAGGATCGGACGAACTTACAATTGGGCGTATGAATTGGGCAGCATTAACGTAATAAACTTGGGCGCTAGCACTGGCCACCACAGTTACTAAACTGCCGTCACAGCGCCAGGCTCCAGGCCAATAACTCTGGCAGGTCACTGGCCGGTGCACTTGGCGATGGTAATATAGGCCGTCATACTGCTATAGGTCCCAGCCTTATAAAAGCAGCGTAGAAGACGTGTCCTTGCTGCACCAAACCACTCGATGGAAGCCCCGTCTTCGCCTTCCTCTATCATCACTGCCCCACCTGAAAATCATGAAACTGCTCGGAGGTTAGGTAGACTGATTGCGGAGGCTAAGACCTGCCATGTCGCCCTCCTACACTATGATAGGACCTCGCAATCCATGGTTGATTGGTTTTGGTGAGACACCACCAGATCCTACGCGAATGTTGACGTATAACGCCACTCCACAAAAACACAGGCCTGCCAACAGTGACGGGAAGAAAATTCCGCCATCCAACCTAGAGGACCACTGTGATGCATACAATTTTAGGTACCCGTGCTGCCTGTGTGCCGATGGTGGTGGAAGAGGGGCGTATGTAGAGTCTGCCGTGTACTCTTGGTGGAATAAGGATACCAAGAAGGCTGATTGGACTGTAAGATGCGCATCTGATATATGCGGATACCAATGTCAGTGTCTTTTGTGCTCAAGAGAATCTCAGACTCAACGTCACACAGTGAAAATAGACAAGTTCTTCATGCAACCAACTTTAGCCACCTGCCAGTATCCTCGAAGAAGTACGTACTTGAAATCTGTAGCACCAAAGTTTCACTGACTGGATGAAAAAGAGCGGGAAATACTACCTGTTGAACTCCAGTGGACCCACAAAGAGCAAATAGAATTGCTTAACAGACTCAACTCCTCCGTTTGCAATGGGATTACAGTGAGGGAATTTCGTATTCTGTTTAGATGCTGCAAAAAATGCATGCGAGTTGGGGTAAAGCCGGCGATGAAACACCATATCTGTGAGGATGGTATGAAAAGGCGAAATTGAGTCAGAGGTTACGACTCAGTACTAGTACGGCCTGCATAATATTGACATACAATTTTAGTTGTTCGCGTTTGACTTGTCATGACTGCAGCTTCGTCGTCTTCTGCTCTGTCATTGTCTTCTCCTAGTTCGACCTTCTCAAAAAGGAAGTTTTCGGAAGACTGTCAGAAGAGAAATTTCAAATGAGTCAACAAACCTTGATAACAATCTGCTCCCATCATCATGCCAATTATGTTCTTGACCATCCTCAGCAGGGCTGTACAAGTCTTTGCACCCATACTATGGTGCTTATTCAAGTTCAATGTTCTAAAAGCTGCCGGGCAAGATATTAGCCTTCGACATAAAACAACATAGTGGGTTTTCGGTAGTCTTTAAAGCTCATCCAAGATGACTGATCACCACATTAGCTTGTCTTCTGAACAATTCTTTAACATGCCACCATATTCTTTGAAATCAGCACGTCTAATGTTCTCTTTTACTTCCAAAAGCTACTAGGTCGATCCCAACGACTCTAACCCTTCTATCTTGCAGCTTCGCCTACCAGCAAATACGACATGGCGGGTGGCATCTGTTCTAAAAGCTCTACCCAAAGTGTTGAAGGCAATGTGCTTGACTGGATTACCACAAAGTGGTAGAATCTTGTCCCTCCTCTTGCTCGCAACATGAAAATTTACCGCGGTTTTATGTCACTTTGTGCTACTGGTCTAGCACTCAGTGCGTGGTATCTTACTCGTGCATTTACTTGGCGTACAAGAATTGACCAATTACGCAAATTAGTATATGTAAGTTCGTTCTGTCTATCATATGTACACGTGGTTAAACTATTACAAGCGCACAATCTTCGAGTTTGGTGAACGTAACAGGGCCGCACCCATGCGCATCATTTTCTTCCGAGGTGGCCTTTCCGAAGGAGAATACGCGCTCATGGGACAAGAGGAGATTGACGACATCACAGGTCAGTCAGTTCAGTGACGGCCATTCCTTATTTTCACCATGTCTACTAGGGGCGATCAATGATATCTGGCGGGAAAAAGGCGTGAAGGGCGCAAAACCTGAACTAACATTCATCGTCGTAGGTAAATGGTAAGTTTGCGATCATACATATAAGCATTGATACAGTTAACTGATCAAATAAGAATACCTAAAAATCCAGAAATAGAGCACGCGACCAGAGCGTCTCTCCAATATCCCCAGGATGCTGCGCAACCCATTATCAAACTCCCCAAAAAAGCTCAGGGTGTCATCTGAGCACCTGTCACCAATGTTGATGCCGTCTCCTCTTAGACGACGACCATCGTTTCCAGCAGATGCCCAACATAAAGCAGATGGACTGGCTCAGGAGCAGGATCACGATGACAGCGATATCTTCTTACAATCTCCATTCAAATCACCCCATCTAGTGCACCGTCTATACCCCATCTCACATCCTAAACCAATCAAGTTAGATGACGATCAAGCGACACTTCTTCTGTCTTCCTCATCCGCTGTATCTTCCCTTTCTTTCATCACGCGTCCACCCAGCCACTACTCACGCCAGTCAAGGATTCCCATCGTGCTGTACTAGCTGCCAAGCACTCAATTCGCAGCCTGCACATCGTGTGGGCGTAGGTACCAAGCGCAAATCCCCGCAATCTGGCGGTGGCGACTTCTCTACGCCTTTGCGTCCCATCTCATCAGCCACGTGCACCCCTCTTAATATCTCGGCTTCAAAACCCAACCCTTCATCTGGTATCGCCTTCCACCGTCTTCCACCTCTGCCAGCACCTCGCTTCACCCCCCAACCAAAGAGTAAAGCTGACACCGATACATTTCTCAAGAAACAGGCAGAAACAATGAAGCGGCTGCGCATTCGAGATCTTGATGACTCAGATGAGGACTGGGGCATCATAGATCGGGATTCCGATGGAGAACCTGTACAAAGGCTACCTGCGCTTTGGAAATGCAAATCCCGGTCTATTAGCCAGAAAAAAATCTCCTGATCAACGCTGGGCTAGTGCCACAGAAAGGTAGCTTAAAGGATGAGGTCACTGAAGCTATCTCACCAGGAGGGCATATCATTAAGCGTCGGGCACGTTCGAGGCCCGTTTCCATTGAACTTCTCGAGAGTGTGAACCACTCACCGTCACCCAAGGTTAGAAGCTACATCGATATCGGTATTTATATATATTCCATTGTGCTGACAAAACTTCACTCTAGGCTTAATGTTCCAATACGAAGCCACCCACTGTGCCGATAACATTTCCTTCTGTATCTCGCAATCGCAATCGGCCCACTTCCTTTGTTGGTTCGCCCTTTCCTGTACCACGAAGACGACTCACAGGCTCCAGCGGTCCTAATCCTTTCCTTTCTCACACACCCTCCCGTCTCAATTTGCATTCTCAGCCCCGCCCCCACCCTTTCGCCTGAATGGCATCCAATAGTTCGGCTACTCACTTCTTCGGACCCTCAATCTCTCAATCCGTGCAGTGCCCACGCAAGCAAATTAATTCTTCCGTCGATGCTACTCTGGATCTGTGCATGCAGTCCTGTCTCAGTCCGTCGAATCGACATAGCTATGCTGGCCCAGACTCGGCTGGTGTCTCCATTACCCCAATGTCATGGACACTGCGGTCGGGTTTGGACACACCTCGCCAAACTCTTCGCCTCTGAATGACGGTCTAGGCACGGTCTTCTTGACAAGTGACTGAGGTGTCATGCTCCCCGGGCCTGTGCTGGCGAGGCGATGACAGGTTTTCTGATGGTCACACCATGATCAGTATGTGCCAAACAAATGAAATAGTATTTGATTTCATTGATGGACTGATGCACGTGTAGCAAAAACATCTCGAGGACGGCATGAAAAACAAGGCGACAAGATCACGAACCGTTCTTGATGTTGTACGATCTTTTGCGGAGTCTAAGTGTTTCGCTCGTTTTATCTTGGAAAACTACGCATTCCCTGGTGGACTCATGATCGGGACTGACTCTCACACACCGAATGCAGGAGGTTTGGGTATGGTTGCCTGTGGTGTTGGGGGTGCCGATGCTGTTGACGTCATGGCGGATATTCCTTGGGAATTGAAGTGCCCTAATGTCATCGGTGTGAACCTTACTGGCAAGATTGGAGGCTGGACTACGCCCAAGGGTGCGCGTGTCCTCGAATTGATTCTCTTGCATAGTTAACCGTTCGCAGACGTCATCCTGAAGGTCGCTGGCATTATCACTGTCAAGGGTGGAACTGGTGCCATCGTTGAATACCACGGTCCTGGTGTCGAATCATTGTCATGCACGGGTATGGCCACTATCTGTAACATGGGTGCTGAAATCGGCGCAACTACCTCACTCTTCCCCTTCAACCGTCGTATGGTCGACTATCTCAATGCTACCAAGCGTTCCGAGATTGCTCAATACGCACAGCGCTTTTCACACAACCTTAAGGCTGATGAGGGCTGCGAGTACGACCAGAACATCGAAATTGTTTGTGATGTTGTTAATGTCCTCGTCATCCGGACTGATATTTTGTGCCCAGAACCTCTCAGAACTCGAGCCTCACTTCAACGGTCCCTTCACTCCTGATCTTGCTACCCCTCTCTCAAAGGAAGTTGTTCACTGACTCGGAAGTTCATGTGGTCACACAGAGCTGACCCGCGGCATTTAAAGAGAACGTCAGAGCACTCTTGTCTCTCATCCTTCCACTACCACCATGGCCAGTGGTTATGAACTCCTGAAGGGCGGAGATGACAACGAAGTCAAGTCACCCAAGCCGTATCGCACCATACGTCGTGTTGCGATCGGTCTCGTAACATGTTTGGCGTTGGTAACGCTTTCTTTTCTGCATGTTCATCCTCTATCAGGGGATCTGGGAGTGCAAGATCAATATGACGGAAACTCCGTGAGGACTTGTGCTTCACCCACGCCCCCTACTGCCCGTCCCCCAGCCCCAATCAATCCATGGGCCTCTCTCACCATTGAACAGACCGTTCAGATCCAGAAGTGGTTGGAGGAGCCTGGTCGGGCTCTTAACCTGACGCACGGGGCTGTATCAAAGCCTTCAGACAATCACATATTCATGATAGAAGCGTACTACCCGCCTAAAGCCAGCGTCCTAAGTTACTTCTCGTCGCTATCCTCATCAGACATCCCGGAAAAGTATGCACGGGTCACAATTCACCACGGTTCTGCACCGGAACCTGTCGTAAAGGATTATCTTGTTGGACCGCTTCCTATTGGACCATCTACTCACATGGAGCATCTGACGGAGGTATATCATCTCGACGCTATTCCGCACAATGCACGTGGCTTTGATACCCGTGACTGGACTTCCCCAGAAATTTTTGAGAAGATGGCGGCCCCTTTAATGGAAGCATACAAGGTCATTTGTGCCATCTTATTTCTGTACATGCTACTTACAGGGAGGTTGGTTTTCAGGAACTTCTGGGTGGAACGCCCCAGGATACCCTTACGACGGCTGGAAGTGGGCCATTCAGCTCTGACGGTTCATTCAGACGTCTGTGGCTTAGTTGGCGACGCAACACGCCCGGCTTCTTCTTACACCCACTCAACTTATATCAGTATGTTGATCTCAGCGGTACCGATTCCTCTCAATGGCATCAGTTAAAGGTATGTTCTCAAATATAACCTCACCGAGACTTCATGTGCTCAAATTGGTCTTAGATTGTGTATACTTTTGCAGAGGAGGTCAAGAAGAACAACTGGCCCCAAGAACTTAAGGTCACTCTCATTGGTTCCTGCACTAACTCTTCATATGAGGACATGTCACGCTCTGCTTCCATTGCCCACGAAGCTACCGAGCATGGCCTCAGTGTCAAGAGCAAGTTCGCGATCACTCCTGGTTCTGAGCAAGTCCGTGCTACCATTGAACGTGACGGTCAAATTGGTGCTTTCGAAGAGGTCGGCGGTCTCATCCTGGCTAACGCATGCGGTCCTTGCATTGGTCAATGGGACAGGAAAGATGTTAAGAAGGGCGAGGTTAACTCAAGTGCGTTTTTCGTCTCATTATATTACATTTTGTAACTAATGGTTTTTAGTTATCACCTCCTACAACCGTAACTTCACTGGCCGTAACGATGCTAACCCTGCCACCCACGCTTTCATCGCCTCCCCGGATATTGTAACTGCCATGGCCTTCGCTGGTGACCTCACCTTCAACCCGGTTTCGGACACCCTCATTGGTTCTGATGGCAAGCCTTTCAAGTTCTCGGACCCTACTGGTAATGAGCTTCCTCCTCGCGGCTACGACCCCGGCCAAAACACCTTCTAGCCCCCTTCTGGAGACCGTGCTAGCGTTTTGGTTGTAGTTGACCCTAAGAGTGACCGTCTTCAACTCCTCCATCCATTCATGGCTTGGAATGGCGAAACACATGTTCTACGACCAATGGCTACTATGATCCCCTGGATTGATTTATCTTTCCTCACACAAAAATATCCCCTTCGACCAATCAAAGCAGGAACGGTCATCGTCTCCCGATCTCAAATTTTTGCTGATCTACGTACCGGATGGTGGTATAACTAGTATGAATACCATTGTCTTACGTCCACCAAGTTCGCCTCTCACCCACACCTATTCTCTACCAATATGGCCATAGTCTCAGATGATCCCACTTGGTGGTCGACCATCAATGCATATAGTTTGTGCAGCTATTTTATAGGTTCGTGGAGGGTAGTCGGATGTTAAAGTTAACTCAATCTAACCTTGGCTGTGGTTTCGTAGTCGCCGTCTTTGTTGCAGTTGTATGATTGGTGTGAGCATGATAACATTAAGAACTGCTGACGTCTTACAATTATTTTCAGCACTCGTTAGCATCACAGAGGGAACCCCTTCTCCACGATCACAGAAAGGCAAGGAAGGATTGCTACCCTCCAAGTATAAGCCACGCGACTCTGGCATCGTCCTCAGCGACGACGAGTCGATTCCCGCACGAAATTCGGTGTTAAGTTCGAGCTCTATTCACTCTGATGATGATAACGGCGATGATCTGGACCGAGTCCTGCTGCTAATTTCTGCCAATCCCTAACACACTTCTAACCTCGTTTAATTCCCGCCACTCGCTTTCCAGCCATTTGACCATGTCGTTCAGCTCTTGCTCTCTCTGCAGCGCCATCAAGGTCAGCCAACATCTCTCTCGTTCCGTTGCACTGATTTGTTGTCGTTGCACAGGATGGTGGCTTTGGCCTATATAGGACTGAGCGGCCGCTGTTGCGGCCTTCCAAATTGCCTGCATCATGTTCATTAGCTGCCACAGTTGAGTACGATATACAATAACTACATACAATTGCCGATTCCGTGACAATCAATGGTCCTGGGACATCATAAGAGTGAGGCAGTACTAACTAGTAACGGTAAAGTTTTAAATTAGGTGCAGAATATCAGTCAGTTCTACTCACCGCCTGACTGTTAGATTGATCATCTTGTCCCTGAGCATTTAGCTGATGTTGACTATTGAACTCGTTTGGATCCATGGAATCAGTATTGTAGTAGATGTGATCTTGATTATCGGTTAGAGTTCGGTGTAGTTCAAAATTCGGCTGAGTTCTAACTCTTGCCTTTTTGGGAAACTATGATATCGTTTGGACGCAATTATAATATCTGACAATTTCTTGTATATCAATAGCAAAATTGCAATGTTCTGATCATGATTGTTATGCATTGTAAAACTTCATTTTTTTTCCGTCATTGTGACAAGCATTTGTAGCTTTCTATTTATCAAGGACCATTCTTGCGAAACGTGATGTATTCTCCTCACAATTGCGGTTGTCCTATAATCTACTGTCTTTCGACCCAATCTGCTCATGCTCATGTATTATGTTGTCTAGTTTTGTTTTTACATATAATCCCGTGTATTTTTGCTCTGATCTTGCCGAATGAATCTAGGTAAAACATCGTCTCCCCAATTTCGTGATGTACTACAGTGCCGCGTCAACCATAGCACATACCGCGTCAGTTGCCGCGTCACATGCGCGTCAGTGCCGCGTCAAACAAGTTGTGCCGCGTCAGTTGCCGCGTCAAACCTCCTCCATGCCGCGTCAGTGCCGCGTCACAGGCACGTCACGCCGCGTCAAACCTTGTCACTGCCGCGTCAAACCTCGTCACCCGCGCGTCACGCCGCGTCACTGCCGCGTCAAACTTCATTCATGCCGCGTCAGACCTCACCACCTCCACATGCCGCGTCAAACCTCACCACCTCAACTGTCACACTGTCCGTATAACTTAGGTATATTTTACTTTACATCTGTCATAATAATTGATATTCTAGCAGTGTTCCTTTTCATCCTGACAGAATTAGACGTCGTACACTGTAATTGTCCATAGGCAGTAATAAATTTATTTTACTAAGCATTCTTTCGTTGTCTCCTCTGGGCTCGAGAAACAACCCTTATTATCGCGCTTTTGTGAATCGTATCATCAAGTTTGGGATCACCTCCTGGTGATGTTGAGCAAGGAGATCTCGTGGATGAACTTTGGCAGGACCAAGCTAAGAGGCGTGAGATTCGCGTGAGTGACAGTGACTGGTTATACTCGCAGTCCTCTTGACACGAAGTATTGTGTAGCTCGGAGAATGGATCCACTCTTGGGATACCCCTCGCGAAGAAGACTTGATTCAAAACTTTATGTCAGCGGAAGTATCAAAAGAACTGGACGACATTCTACTACCACATATTGCTTCGCTTCAGAAGCTCCTTGACAGTCCAGACTTGAACCAATATGGTGCGGAGGCATACCCCGTGATAGACTACATCTTGCGATCGAAGAAGAAGCCAGATGGTGTGGGTGCATACAGCATACCGTTTTGTGGTGACATCTCATCTCACGAGTATGCCAAAATTGCACGTTGGTTCTCGGAGAATGTTCCTGGTGCTTCCGGTCAAGTCGAAAAATGGCTTGGTGGCATGCCTTTGGTGCATGCTTTCACTCTCGTGGTTGCTCATCGAAAGGCCAGTGATTTTGAAAAACGCGTCGAAGCTCGAAACGAAGAATGGAACGATAGCATGCTGTTGAAGATGGCTTGGGCTGATCTCATGATAAGCTATCCTACCAATAGCTTCGTGGCTGATGTCGACCTCGAGTGTCTGACCGCACTAGAAGCAAGGATGTTCGAGGATTCCGAAGAAGCAGGACCTGTAGGCAACCAGCAGTGGGGTTTGGATGGTGGCCAACATCACAGGCGATGGAATGTGTATCTCGGAATTCCTGATGAATGGGTTTCTGCAAGAGATTATAGCGAGAGTGAACTTGAAGTGAGGAAGACATTACCTGCTCCGTTCGATAGATATCTAACTTATGTGATTGACAGCGCGGCCCCTTATTCAGTGATAACTCTGATGCTACATCTTTGGAGTCTGCAGACGAGCTATCCGAAGCTGTAGTTCCTTCTCTGCCGGCCGAAGAATGTCCGCCCGTTAAACGTCGATGTGCTCCACAGGCTCGAAGGGTCCAGAGAGGGAGGAAAAGAAAATAGTCATTGGCTTATGTATACCTAGTTGTACATGGCTCTGAGGCAACTAAAATAACAAAAGAATGGTCGCGAACTCATCCAACTTGATCTGGAAGTTGAATGTAGAATATAGGAATGGCGCGTCAGTGGCCGCGTCAAGGATCGTTAGTGCCGCGTCAAGGCTCGTCAGTGCCGCGTCAGTGCCGCGTCACATGCGCGTCACGCCGCGTCACGGCCGCGTCACGACCGCGGCAGGCGCGGCAGGACCGCGTCAAAATAGCTACGCCCGTCACGTGTGGGACACTTATCGCGACTCTGACTGTTTCTGTGAATACACCGATGCATTACTAAGTTGACCGATACTGTTCAAAGTGTGCATTCCCGTTGCAATCGCTCTGGATCAAGGTAAAGACACTTCTGTTGCCATGCGATGTATTCGTTCATCCAAAGAGGTTGAGCTTCTACGGCAGTAACAACAACGGGACCCCGAAAAAACAACGACGACTGCGGTACTAGTCACGGTACTAGTATTACTACTAGTACTTGAGGTAGTTGTACGTCCGCCCAAGGTCTTCACGTTTCAACTGACGATCATGTATCAAGCTTTGAGCTCAAGGAGCTTCATAATTCGGTGGCCACTGGCCAGTACAATGAGCGCACGCGGCGAGTTTCCGAATCAATTTTTGTGTTTCAGTTATCAAACCTATGTAAGTTATATATAGTTATTAGGTGCGTTCTGCGTCTGTTACGTAGTTTGACCAAAGACTGAACAAACAATGTATGTGCCTCGGAATAGAGCACGACTATTGAAACTACTGTCTTAGGGGAGGTACAACTGTACCAAGTTGCTCCCTGGCCGGCGGCCGGTACATCTTGCGAATGAGTCATGATAGTGAAACACTACAACAAGCTAGGTTCAAACTCGAATAATATGATCCCTAGTGTTTTCACTGCCATATTGATGGGCTCACAGCTCGTTCATAAAAGTTAAGAAGGCGCATGATGCGTGTGTGTGAAATCCATTTTCTGACCTCTAGATGGAGTATTTGACTGACGATATCGCAACAGCGAGGAGTCTGCAGGTCACTACGGTGTGTCTCCCTGTCGATATGGGGGCGAATCATAATTAACAAGTCGTGTACCATCAGTACATATACAGTGCGTACTGTCTGAACCTCATATTCTTTGTCCTAACACAGTTCAGCGTCGATGGCTACATTCTGGGTAGGCCTATTCTGATCTATTCACATCCGCTGTCAAACTCGCTTATACAGACCTATGATTATGCATGTTCACTTCATGAAGAGGTAACACACTTGTTCCATTTCACACCTCAGTTTTGATACCCACAATATGCTGTGCAAAGTGGGCATTTTTGCTTCGATCACACTGGACCAAGATGAAAGGCCTGTATATTGCCACACGATACCTCCCCTTTATCATGCTCGCCACGGATCTATATAGTATGTTGCGCTCCAGCACACATCGCCACGATAATGAATTAACACTTGGTTTTTAGGGAGTTTTACCCTGAATGAGAACACAAGTGTATGTGATGCGGCGAGAGTCAACGGAAAAAACAACTCACTGACTTTGCCAGGAATGTTTAGTGTCGGTTCATATTAGCTCAGGTATGTGCACAGTGCATTCATGTATGAACGTCCTTGCCGAAGCCTACTACTTTCCCCTCACAGGTCTTTGCACAGTATTATCCATTTTCTCCGGATGTATCTCTCGTTTCCCCATATTATATGCGTGGTTACTGAGTCGATTCATCCAGGTTTTTTCATCCTCAGAACATATGTGCTCTGGAACAAAAATAGAATCTTGTTCGCAGCCATGCTGTCCACTTTTTTCGTGAGTTCTTAATCCACTCATCACACCCAAGCTAGTGATAGATGCGTCAGCCAGACTTTTCTCGGAGCATCCTTCGGCATCGTCTTCGCCACTGCCGTCCCCGCAGCATGTACGCACTCATCTTCCCTTTGGCGTTCCACAACTACTGGAACATTCTGTTCATTCTCACAGATCCGACTAGCGCGATCCCGGGCATCACAGGGTGCTATGAGACCAGTTTCTGGTACTTTATGCCATTTCTTCTCTTTTCCGTGTTCCAATTGGGTGGGTAACCAGGAGCATATATATGTACAAACACGTGCTGACAGATATTCTCTCCAGGACTGATGATACTTACGCTCATACGCGCCATACAGAGCTGGCAGAGATCCCCAAGCCCTCTGTACGTTGTCCTGGTGAAGCATAACATATTCTATTATGCATGCGGTCTTCGTAAGTTAACACTCGTACGCACCGCACTCATCCACGATCATTCTCTTTCCTGAAGTGTTTTCGGTAACGAATATCTTCATGTCGCTGCTCCTCCAGGTGCGTGAATCTATTGGGTGCCTTTTTTGACCGAGCCGTTGATGTTCCGCGCCCCAGGCCTCTTACCGCACCATGTTGTATGAGTATGCATCTCCACATCCTGCTGCGTATTCCTACTAACAATACCCGAAACGTACACCCATGTATAGTTTCGAGTTCACGATCCTTGCAATCCTCACCACGCGCATGCACCTCCATCTCTGGCGGATAAACCAACATGCACACGGCTCTGGCGCCTCCGTAGGTATCCCAATGTCCGACATGTCAACTGTAATTTCCATCGCATGATGTTTTATGTTGTGGTTTATTCGGTGTTGTTTGTGGAGCGAGGGTTGGACCATACAAGATGACTGGTGGGGGGTTCGGTAGAGTTCATTACGTGCCTAACTTATAGATGAATCTATCGCAGGGTGGAGCATTTGAATGGCCTTGGTCTGTTTAACACATGTAGTTTCCACTGCAAGCGGTGGCGCACTCAGGATCCAGAACTCGAGTGTGCTGTCGTCACACGATCTATCTGTTCATCTAAGGGATAGGCTCAGGGCCTTCAAGGTAGTCCTAACGGGTTGTAGAAATTGGGACATCGAAAAAACGACGACCGAGTAAGTACTAGTACTCGAGGGCAGTTGATATCTCAAATTAGAGCTCTGAAAGTTCCTTTAGGTCCCTCCGAGGTCTTCGCATTTCAAGTGACTATAATGTATCAAACTTTGAGCTTCAGAAGCTTCATAAATCAGGGGCCAGTACAACGAGTGCGCGCGGCGAGTTTCCGAATCAATCTTTGTGCTTCACTTGATCAAACCTGTGTAAGTTATATATAATTATTAGGTGCGTTCCGCGTCTATAATGTAGTTTAACTAAAGACCGAACAATGTATGTGCCTCGGACTAGAGTATGACTCATCGAAACTACATACTACTTCAGGCATCGGAGGTGCAACTGTATCTTCTATCAATTCGCTCCCCAGCCGGTGTATCGAGTGAAATCATGATGGTGATACGACCACAGCAAGCTAAGTTGGAACTCAAATGATATGATCACAAGCATTTACCCTGCCACCTTGATGGGTTCACAGCTCATTTTTTTTTTTTTTTTTTTTAAATTCCAATTTTTGTCCTGTATCAGAGTGTACTCTATGAAGGACAATACATTCTAGTCTAACGGACCCCCTGTGTCCGTACGCAACTCCTAACTCATGAATGCCCTGGTGTGAAGCGTACTCCCACCAGTCCGCCGTTCCCGCCGGCCGTTTTAGACATGCAGTTAGTAATAAGGTGAGATGACTTTGGCTCTAACAATATGATTATTGGTATGGTGTATGCTAACGCGTACTCGGTCTGCCGTGGCAGACTGGTACCGGAGTCAGAACGGTGTGCGGGAAGAGTTTGGATGTTTGGTGGTTCCTGCGCTGCGGCGCTGGTTCTTGCCGTCTTGTGACCGTTGGATCTGTTGATTCCTGGTTGTCGAGTGGGATAGGATGTCAGTTCTTGCGTTTTTTACTGATGGGAATTTCACCGAATGTATCCTTGAGGCGTTTTGTTGAGTTCACGTATCTTACAAGGTGCGGGATAGCTTCTTCTTTCGATAACAGATACGGGAGGGAGGAGGCTTTGCGTCCTACTGCAGCGGATAGTGCGTGGCGCTCACGACGATAGTGAGGGCAGTCTATTATGTAGTGGTGGATGGTTTCTTCGCTTTGGGGGCAGTGAGGGCAGAATGGCGTTTCAGACTTGGATATGCGGTGTAAGTGTTTGTTGAGTGGGACGTGTTGGGTGCGTAGGTTGGTGAGGAGGCTTGTTAGTTTCTTTGGGAATGTAGCGGCTAGCTTGATGAATGACTTGTGGAGTAGTTTGGGGTCGATGCTGTTGATCCGGAGGTAGCGTGGTGATTTCCTCCAAAGTTGTATCCATCTTCAGTGTGAGCTGTCGCGTTGGGATTGAATTAAGGCTGATATGCTGAGGGGGAGCGATCCATGGCGTAGGAAGTGGGGGAGCTTTGGGCGTGGGCTGTTGTTGATGGCTCCTTCTGCCGCTTTTTTCGCCTGTTTGTCTGCTTCTTCGTTGCCATGCATTCCCTCATGTCCCGGAACCCAACGTACTGTTACATCGAAGTTGTTATGTTCTTTCGCCACTCGGCTCATGTGCTTTCTGAAAAGATCTGCTAAGTAGGAACCTGGACGGGGGTTGAAATTATCACCGCTTTGTATGGCTGCTTGGTTATCGATCAGGATAGAGAGAGGAAAGATGGGGTCTCTTTCGGTGGCTACTAATCTTGCTGCTAGGATAAGGCCTAGTTCTTCGGCTTCGTATACTGTGTGTTCTTTGTCAGTACCTAAGTGAAATCGTAACGTACGTGGTCTGTTTCCCACTCTAAATAGCACTGCTGCTCCAATGTTGCTGTCGTGTCCCGATCCATCGCAGTAGACTTGAATGTTATCGTTCAAGTGTTCGCATTCCTTGATAGCTTCTTCTTTGTTGGCAGCAATGTGGAACTTGACCGGATGGCGTGAGTGTGGTGGGCGTCTAGCTGGATTGAGAGTCTCAATTTTGTCTGGTCTGATTCTAAAACATCGTGTGAGTCTATGCAGTGATGAGCGGTGTGATGATACAAAATGCTTAGCTGCTCGTCTGATGACGTGGTAGAGCGGGTGGGATGGAGGGTGTGATGCAATTCGGATAGCGGCTCTGTGACACTGGTTCTGGAGGGAGAGTGTGATCGGTAGAATGTTTGCGTGGGTCTCTAAAATGTCAGCGGCTGTACTGCGCATTGTGTTACGACGGTAAGTCGCGTGCGAACTGGGATGATCTAACAGCGACGATCACGACAGTGATACCACGTGCTGAGAGTCCAAGGTCGGCTCCCACAGAAGAGCAGGAGTTGCGTATGTTTGCGGAGGCGAACGATGATAGCGGTTTACAGGCAGAAGGGGTCTCAAGTCCTTCTGAAGGTACGGATCTGATGTCAAGCAGGTAGCTTTAGCAAGACAAAGGTTTCGAGGTAAAACCCAGTAGGATTAAAGTAAGGAACATCTACTTTAATCCTCGACCTTATATAAGGCTACTCTATCGTATCTAAGCTCAGCTTGAAGCTGGGTTCTAATCTGCTTATCTATTGAGTCAGAGATACCATGCATGAGGCAGGCTTCTATCAGTACATGAGGCAACACGAGGCTTGCCTTCTATCTTGATAACATAAATAGGTCTTCTAGACCTATGTCATCATATCATGTAAGCGATCCAGATCGCTTACCTAATCCGGCATCTTCCGGACTTCTCTTCTATTCATCATCTATCATCAAGGCCTAAAGGCCCGGTTATCGTGTCGTTGCCGTGCAGGGTGGCAGAGGGCTGGTCGAGTAGCTGGGGGCTCTCGTAGTGACTGTAACACATTGCGCCTGTCATTGCTAGGGTGGCTAGACGTTGGACCGATGTGAGTTTTTTCGCTGTTCCTATGGATCCCCGCTGCGGCTGGTTGGATCCTTCTCTAAAGGCTGGGCTAAACCATAGATCGGCCGCGTATAACATTTTCGGTACTGCCACTGCTTGGTATAGTTGGCGGGCGAGTCGAATCGGGAGTCCCTTGGTGGCTAAAGATAGGCGTCTGAGTTGCATGACGTAAGCCGTCCCCTTGGCTGTGGCTTTGTCAATTTGTGCTTTCCACCGGAGTTCCTGGTTGAGGATAACTCCCAGGAACTTGTGCATTGGGGCGGGTTGTATGTTGACTCCTTGGGTGATTAGGGGGGGGCGTTCCTTGTTCCTGTTCATTGAGAAATCAATTAGCGCGAATTTAGTGGTCTCGAATCGTGAATTGTGGGATCTGGACCACTCGAAGCCTCCATTAGGCCGCTCTAGCATATCCTTGAGAATGTCGTGGGTTTCCGTAAAGTTCTTTCCGATGGCGATGAATGCGGTATCGTCTACAAATGCTAGGGTTAGTTCCTTCAGTGCCGCACGGCCTTGGCGTTTCTTCGCTATATCAACAAGGTCAGAGTTATATATTATGTACAGAATCATAGAAAGTGGGTCTCCTTGACCTATCCCATTGGTGACGTCAAACCACGTTGAGGTGTATCCGTCGAATCGGAGCTGAGTTTTCCATGCTGTTAGCAGACGTTCTGTGAATTCAACTAGGGCGCTTGGTATGTGTCTCATACGCATATTGTGAAGTAAGCGTTTGGTGACGGCGTTAGGGAACGCGCCTTCAATATCTAGGAATAGTACCGACACGACTTTATGCGCTCGTCATGCGTTTTTGATCGTCGTGTCCAATAGGTGAAGGGAGTCGGTTGTTGACCGTCCGGGTCTTCCTCTGAAATGGGTATTGGGGAGGAGGTTGTGTCGCTCTAGGGTGTGGGTTAGCTGGTCGGCCACGATGGCTGTTAAGAGTTTTCCTGTGGTGTTCAGTAGCGCGATAGGACGGAAGGCTTTGGGGGTGGTGTAATCCGGTTTCCCAGGTTTGCGGAGGATGACCGTGGTGAATTGTCGCCATGGGTCGAAGTATGTACGGTATGTGAAGACAGCATTAAAAAGGTGTAGGAGGTATGGTACGAGGCTAGTGCTGCATTTCTTGAAGACTATATTACAGATTTCATCCGGTCCGGGAGCCTTGTACCTGCTTAGCTTGGCGATTGCGCGTAGGATCTGGGATTTGGTGATGGGCGTGTGGATGGTGATTGGTTCTGGGTATCTCTGGTCCTGCAGGTTGTCGTCGGGGGCAGGAGGGCATGGGAATAGTGATTCCACTAGCATGGCACTCTTCTCGTCATTCGTGGTGGCCGTGTTGATGGAGCCATCTGGGTTCTTGGTCGAGAGAGTGGGGATTCGGGTTTTCCCGCCATCGTTAGGAGTTCCTGTAATGTATTTGTTAGCTGTCCATAGATCATTACCTTCGATGTCTTCAAGCCATTCTATCCAATGTTGTTTCTTCGTGGTGGTGATCTCCTCAGCGTATTCGTTCCTAGCCTTCTTGAGTTCTTCGTGGCATTGGTGGGTTGAGAGTCCTCGCATTCTATATGCCTCTCGGGTGAGGCGTCGAAGTTGCTTGCGCTTGATGGTAAGGCTCTTGGTCCACCAGCGTTTCGAATGTGGGCAGGGTTTGGTGCGAGGTACCAGTTCTTCCATAGTGGTCGTTATGGCTTTGGTGACGTGTTTCGCTAGGTTCTGGAACTCTTCGTTAGATGCTAAGGGTTGAGGTGGAATTGGCGATAAAAGAGTGCTTAGCCGTTTGTTAAACTTTTCCCAATCGGTTTCCCTCCAGTTGCGGCGTGGAGCTTCCTTCGTTTTCATTGAGTTAAGTTTGAGCGTAAGGTGAACGGGTACATGATCAGTTCTTGGCCCACGGAGATCGGGAGCAGTGATGCATGTTGAAACCGATTCTAGGACATTTTCGGTTCCGAAAACGTTATCGGGTCTTGTCCAATTTCCGGTCCTTGTTGCTTGAAGGGTGGGGATACCTAGTGGCAATAGTTGAATCATTCCGTAGTCAGCAATTAGGTCAATTAGTGGTTGGGCGGCTCGGTAGTCGAATAAATGACGGTTTCTCAATTCTTCCCAGAGTGGGTGGTGTCTGTTAAAGTCCCCCATCCACAGCATTATGTCGTCTGGACTGGGTCGGAGCATCTGAATATGTTGACGTAGGTGCTGGTCGATTAGTCATAGGGTGTCGTGGTGGGTTCCGTCATTGTATATATTGAATATCGTACACTTGCCGTATGTGCCGTTGAGTTGAAGCAGGACCACGTCGGAGGATGGGAAGGAGAGTTGTTGCCACGTGTTGGTGTCTAGAGTGGCTTTGATTAGTGTTACTGCTCGCGTTCGCTGTTGAGGGTTAGTATAATGGTTAGTAGGATATATTACGTGCCAACGATGGTTGGCACGCGTGTTACGAAGGAAGTTAATGTGAGGTTCTTGGAGGATGAGGATATCCCAGTCTAAGATGTCGGAACTGTTGAGCAGGGATTCTTGCGCTACGAGGGAAGTGTTAAGATTTTGTTGCCATATTTTGAGCTCGGCGGTGTTGTCATTTCGGGTGTTAGACATTAGAGATGTTCGGGGTGTGATGCTCGCCAGTCGTTGAGCTTTCTATTCCCCAGCCTGATGCAGGTGGTTCATTGTAAAGCGGATGTGAAAGTGGGAAGGTAAGTGGTGGGGATGTTGGGCGTGTGTTGAAGTCGATGGTGGTTTGTTTAAGTTTGGTTTTTTGGGACGGGCGTAGCTGTGGTGAGCGTGGTAGGTCAGGCGATTGGGATGAGTGGTTTCGAGGGAGTGTGGGTGTAGGCGAGGGTGTTCTGGATGGGGGTTTCGGAGGTTCGATGGTCTGGGTCCATTCTTGTCCCGTCGGGAAGAAGGGCATTCTATTTTCTGGAAATTTTGCGTCCATTAGTTCACATTGTCGTTTGAATTCCGGACATGCCCTGCTCCAGCTAGTGTGGTTGTTGGATTTACAGCTGACACAGTGTTCCGTTTGGTATGCATTGCATTCTGCTGTGCGGTGTGCGTTGCCACAAGTCCCGCAGATGTCGGTGTTGTTCCTGCAATTGCATGCTATATGCCCGAAGCGTTGGCACTTGACGCATTGCATTGGTTCCTTCTTGTCTTTTTGAACCGTAATGCGTTGGCTTTGAATGCATAGTCCTTCCTTTAGAATGGTGTTAGCTGTTTCCACTTCCATTACCTGGAGGAGAGCAAAGGCTCTTTGCTGTTCCTTGGAGCGTCTTTGTGGTGGTTTAATCCACCTGATTGAGTGTAGTGAGTGGGCAGGGAGGGCGTTTTCTTCTTCGCATTGGTGTAGGAACTCTTCGTGATCTATTTTGAGGGAAACTGGTAAGTATTGGAGTACTATACTGAACGTTCGTTCCCGCAGGGATGCTGCTGGCCCTAGGTGTTCTTCGAATGAGTGCCGACCGGCTGGGCTCCTGAGCCAGGTGGCTAGTTCTTCTGTGTCGAGTTCAATTATGATTGCTCCGCTGTGTAGGGTTTGTACTGATTTTACACCTCCTTCCGGTGTTTCATCGTTGCTGGCTTTGGTGAGTGCTTGTTTGATTATTTTGACGATATCTGCGTGTTGGTTAGTATCTGGGAATATGTTATTACCTGTCTTCGGGGTTATGAGGATTTGTCTTGCTCTGGTCGCTGCTCTAGCCATGGCCTGGTCTACGGATGGGGGTAAGTTAGCTGCGGTTACAGAGCTGTAGGTCGGTTTGGTCGGTCCTGGCGTCTGCGTATGGTTGGCGTTCAATTGTTTCGAGGCGTGTAGTTGAGTGGAGAGGTGTGTAACATGTTTTTGGGTGGTTTCTAGCGCTGGTTGGAGGGTTTTTAGGGTGTCCTTGCATTCATTTACTGAGTCGTGTAGAATGTTGGTGGCTTCCTCGATCCTTTCTGCTGCAGTTTGGCTGTCTCCTTCTTTCTCATCTCTTTCGCGTTGCATGTTCTTGCGGAGCATCTTGGTGTCATGTATTGTGGTTTTGAGAGTCTCTGTCAACGATTGGATTTGCGCTATTTGTGGGGAGATAGTCGTCGTGATTTGTTCAGTTAGGCTGGTAGAGATGGTGTTCGTGAAATGTTTGGCCGCTGCCTCTGCAATTTCGCATGCGGTGTGGCGTTTCAGGATGAATGCGACGGCTCTGATTGCTGTGGTTACTGGGAGGGGTATTCCGCTGGACATTTGTGTGATATGGAATAATACTGAGGAGAGGTGGGTCAGCGTGAGGGGTTGGTCTCGAATACTTAGCAGTTTCTCTTGGAGGTAGCACTCTGCACCTCTAGTATCCATTACTTTGTTCGGTATTGCTTCTATCTCCTCCGAGGTGGTTCTTCTTGGGTTGCGCCTTGTATTATGGCCGTCAGTTGTTAAGCTAGAGTTAGTTTCTGGGGGATCTGGTTCGTTGTTTAAGTTTTTTCCTGGAGGCATTTTCTATGTTTTGAGTATCTATGTTTTGTTTTTTGGGTGTTTTATTGGGTTTTTATATGATATAGAATGAGAGAGAGTTGCCGCTAGGCAGCGCTGGCTTTGTTGAGCACGATGTCCTCGAGGGGTGTTCGGGGTCTTGCTCGGGGTGCCACTTAGTTTGTGACTAAGAGGCGATCCACAGCTCATTTATAAGAGCTGAGAAGGCGTATGATGTGTGTGTGAAACACATTTCCTTTAGATGGAGTATTCGACTAACTATGTCACAGCAGCGAGGAGCTTGCAGTTCACTACGGTGTGTCTCCTTTGTCGATATGAGGACAAATCATAATTGACAAGTCATGTATCATCAGTACATATATAGTGCGTACTGTCTGAACCTCATATTTTCGTCCTATTAATAGAGCTCAGCGTTGATGGCTACATTCTGGGTGAGCTTATTCTAATCTATTCACGTCCGCTGTAAAACTCGCTTATCTAGACCTATGATTATGCATGTTCACTTCATGAAGAGGTAACATACGTGTTTCATGACACACCTCGGTTTTGATACTCACAATATGCTGTGCAAAGTGGACATTTTTGCTTCGATCGCACTGGACCAAGGTGAAAGGCCTGTATATTGTCACACGATACCTCCCCTTTATCATGCTCGCCATGAATCTATGTGGTGTGTTCTGCTCCAGCATACATCTCCCCGATGATGAATTAACACTTGTTCTTAGTGAGCTTTACCCCGAATGAGAACCCAGGTGTATGTGATGCGGCGGAGAGTTAATGAGAACGAATGACTTACTCCATAACTTTGCCAGAAATCCGGGGCGTTGGATCGTACAAGTTCAGGTACGTGGTATATCCATCTATGCACATCCCTGCTGAGGATACCCCACAGGGTTCAGCATGCTATTAGCCGTTTGCTCCGATTGTATCTCTCCTACCTCCTTGAGATATGTATGTTCCTGATCCGATTCATCCAGGTTTTTTCATCCTCAGAACATATGCGCTCTGGAACAAAAATAGAATTTTGCTCATAGCCGTGCTATCTACCTTTTTCGTGAGTTCCCAATCCACTCACTACCCAAGCTAGTGGTAGATGCATCAGCCAGACTTTTCTCGGAGCATCCCTCAGCATTGCCGTCGACGCTACGGTCTCCGTAACATGTACGCACTCTCACCTACTCTCTGGTGTTCCACGACCAATGAAACATTCTATTTACTTTCACAGATGCGACTAGCCCGATCCCGGGAATTATGGGGTGCTACTGGAGTTCGACCAGTTATTGGCTCTTCCTACCTTTTCTTTTCTTTTGCATTTTCGAACTGGGTGGGTAACTGGGAGCATACATACGTACAAAGATGTGCTGATATGTGTTCTCCCCAGAACTCATGATACTCACGCTCATACGCGCCATACAGAACTGGCGGACAAACCCAAGCCATCTGTACGTTGTCCTGGTGAACCATAACATATCCTATTATGCATGCGGTTTTTGTGAGTTAGCACTCGTACGCGCTGTTTTTCCGTACTCATTCATGATCATTCTCTTTCCTGAAGTGTTCTCGGTAACGAACGTCTTCACATCACTGCTCCTCAAGGTGCGCGAATCTATTGAATGTCTTTTATGATCGAGCCGTTGATGTTCCGCACCACAGTATTGCTACCACACCATGTTTTACAAGTATGAAATTCCAATCCTGCTGTGTACTCCTACTAATAATACCCGAAACGCACACCCATGTGCAGTTTCCAGTTCATCATCCTTGCTATCCTCGCCACGCGCATGCACCTTCATCTCTGGCAGACGGACCGACATCCACACGGCTCTAGCACCCTCGCGAGTATTCCAATGTCCGAGATGCTATCTGTAAATTCTACGGTGTGATGTCTTATCCTGTGGCGTATTGGGTATCGGTCGTGGAGCAACACTTTGTCCGTACAAGATGATCTGCGGGGTGGGCTTGGTAGAGTTAGTTACGTTCTTAACTTATAGGATGAGCCTGTCGAGGGGTGGGAGGAACATTTAGATGCATTCGTCTATTTAAAAAAACAATTCGGGCTTACTACTCCCGGCTTTCTGTCGCGCTGGCGCAAGCCGGGGAACCAACTCTTAAGCACAAGTTTGAAGGGCACGGAAGGAGAACTCGAATTTCGTCTTTTTGTACGACAACATCCACATTATGAGCAGTTCGTTGAGCGACATGATGTGCAAGGGGGGTGGAAACAATGGACTTGTTGTGTGGGAACTATCGGAAGGCAATGGCCATCAGTGAACCGATGAAGAAAGTAGAAAGCCATATATCACAATATATAGTACACAATCGCACACATCAGCATAATTCTGCCATCGGTCATTACATTATCATGTTTGACCTTGTAGAGGAAAGAAGCGTTTTTCATTTTCTTATATCTGCTTCCGATGTCAAAGCTACTCAGGAAAAACCTCCTTCTCAAATTGGATGAAATGCGATCCAACTTGCACAAATCTGCAAGAATTTGACGATTTGGCAATCTGTCCAATTATTTTAATCCCTTTCAAATTTTCGTAAATAGGATCTCAATTCACGACAATACTAGCACATTATTTTCAGGCAGCTTTTCCAATTCAATTAAATGATATCAAGCAAATTCCATTAAATTTTAAATCTGACATAAACAGCGAACATCTATCTATCTATTATAGATGAGGGCGAGTGAGAGATATGTTGTTGTGTCGTCGTTGTATTGTTGTTGTTGTGTCATTGTTGTATCCATCGTCATCATCGTTGTGTCGTTGTCGTTGTGTCGTTGTGTCATCGTCATCGTCGTCTCGCATCATGTCGTCGCGTCGTCGTCGTGTCATCGTCACTCGTCGCATCGCGTCGTCATCGTCGTCGTCGCATCGCATTGTCGTCGCATCGTGTCGTTGTCGTCGCATTGCGTCGCGTCGTCGTCGTCATATCGTCATTGTCGTCGCATCGTGTCGCGTCGTCGTCGTCATATCGTCATTGTCGTCGTCGTATTGTCGTCGTCGTCATTGTCATTGTCGTCGTCGTGTCGTCGTCGTCGTGTCGTCGTCATTGTCGTCGTCGTCGTCATATCATTGTCGTCGTGTTGATGTTGTTGGGTTGTTGCTGTCGGGTCATCGTCGTTGTCATCGCACCATCATCGTCGGCCAAAGTGGCAAGTGAGAGTAGCGATGAGTGAGAGCGAGTGAGAGCGGGAAGAAAAGTTCAAGTTGAACTTTTGTGAGCGCACCGTCACATGAACAAACATATACAAATGTTGGACTTAGGATATTTCCAGCGCTGTAGCACAATTGATCCCGCTGATGCCTTGTAGAGCGCCGCTGTACTTTCACATTTGCAATAAGCAGCAATCAGAAACATGTAAAGCATTGTTTTGAAAATACTTAATGTAGTCTTATTGAAAGTGGAGGCCGCTGGAAGCGGTACAGCCAGTTTCAAAAGTTGTCCGCTAAAGGTATCTTCTCACGAGAAGGGCTTGAATAGCATTGTAATGGGATAAATAAATAGGGCCAAACGACAATGCACGAAATAATTGGGATAAGTCTACTACCACCCCTCATTATCTGAAAAGGAGGAATGTCATAGCTTTGTGACTAAATCTAATGGTATTTTATATTTGTCAACAAATGCCCGAGGCTCTTTCCATCAAAAGGCCTTAAATAACATTGTAATTAAAAAACAAGATCAGGTAAGATGTCGAAGCTCAAAACAATTGGCTCAGGTATACTACCACTACTCATTGGCTGCAAAGGCGGAATGTCCCAGGATTGTTATAAATCATTCATGTTAAGCTGGATTTACAAGCATACATGAGTATATATGTGCAACTCAAATTGCTCGCAATATATAAGCTAATATTTGGCGGCAGCAGAATTACATCGTGCTATACTTCCCACGGCTACAATATCGAGGACTCATCAATTCACTGATGGCCCCCATGGTGGTTGCATATATACACGGCAGCAAAATTGCGTGTGGAAGAGATGGCGACGGAAGCGTTCAGCGGCGGAACAGCAACAGAGAGATGAAGAAAGGGGTTTCGACGGGTCATAGCAGGTCTGTGCAGCAGCTCTTGCGATCTCCGAGCGGGTGATTATAATATAACTAAGGAATAACCGGAAGTATAGTGCGGTATATTATCATCGGAGGCCTCATATAGGTACAAGATCGGTTAATAAACTGATATAAAAAATGAATCCTAAAGAGGTAGACCCAGCCAAAGCCAACGCTCCGAACCAAGCAGCTTTGGTTTGACCCAAGTCTACACCATTGAACAAGACAACGTCATATGCATCTTGGGCCCCTCTCCCCAACACGCTTGAGTTGCAGTAGCAATTATCATAGGTACTTGTAAACTCCAGCATCCCTGCCACAATTATCCAGATTGCATTGATGATTGCCAACAATTTCCCTCCCCATCTCAAAAGGTTTGATAGTACCTTCGCGAGACTGAGAGTGGTGGATGAGAAAGAACCATTGGGTCTGTCTGAGTTACGAGGATGCGTAGTGCGACAAGGTGCTCGACATAACGAGCATCGCCCATACTATCGTTGCAAGTGTGCCATAAATGAGGTAACCGAGAGATCTACAACCAAAGCCCTGTCGTGTGCCGCTAATCAACAACCAGATAATTATGACCGCATATAAGATGATACTTACCATAGTCGGAGTAAAATATACAACTAATACCGCAGATACAGTTGTTGCCCATTGCAAAGCTAGGGGCAGCAATGAGGCCACGAACATGCGAAAGAACATCCCTGTAGCCCAGGGGCTTCGTACCGCGTATCGCGGAAGTTTGCAGTAAGCATCGACTTCTGATGCATTGCCTCTCCTGTTGCCGGGTTCAATAAAGTTCCTCCTATTCGCGTTTGTCCATGTAGCACCAATCATGACCGGCCTGCGTATTCTGGCGTTGTTGGAGGCTATTCAAAAAGCATTGAGGACGTCTTCCGCTGACCGAGACCATGAAATGGCCCTGGCATAGTTATAGACGGGCGGAGTCAACATTTCGTCAGGAGACGAAGGACTTTCCGTATTGGTATCAATGGATACTGCTCATCTTTCTGAAAGATCTGATGCCTTTACAACAACTCCATGATTGGTGGTTACAAATGCCATTGCATCCGCGTTTTCTATGGCCTTTCTAACTCGTGCATAATCGCACTTCGGGGACAGTTGCAGCCAACCTATAACAATTGGGATAAGCCACAACCACACTGATCCCGTCGCTTGACCGCTGTTGGAATGGATCTCGGAGGGAATGTCAGATAGCGAGCTGGTGACCGTCAGTAGGTAGGTGATGACAACCCACGCAATGGATGTCACAGATGCGATGGACCAGGTATGAGTGTAGTTGAGAAAATCGGCAATGGTCGGCCACCAATCATCATTCTGTGGCAAAATAACGAGAGAGCTCAGCAGCGAGTCTTCATTTGTTATTCTCAACGGACTTTGTTGAAGGCTTATAAGGATACGGACAGCGTCTTTAGTGTTAGGGAAGAATAGATTCTCGAACTGACGACTGATCCAGTTGGCGTTGAGAATAATGAGAATCATCGAGTAACCAGCGAGAACCAGTGATCCGACTGTGAGGATGGCAGACATAAGATTATCAACTCTATGTCTTGCACCGAAAGGCAGCTGAGAAATGAGTGCAAGGTAAGGTAATAACCAGGTGCCGAACTGTTGCGACATGTTTGCCCAGATGGGACTCTGTGTTCCAGAGCTGCACTGCGAGAGACACGTATGATACGTGAATCCAACTGCGTTCATAATGTCCGACGATAGGACATTTCCGCCATTGCCATTCACCAATCCAGATGGATCGAGCCTCCCGTTCGCATGATTTCTGAAATTGATAAAGCAATCGGTAATATTGAAGTTGCTGGCATATGCCCCTTTGAGAAATGGGAGCAGCAGTAAGAAAAATCGAATTCCTGAGAAAATGGTGAGCATAAATCATTATGAGCCATCGAACTCACTATTTGTATCACGCATGAGCAAAGTCGACTTTGATCAATGGGGTGAAGTGCACTTAAGAAGGAACTTCCTATGTGAATTTATCAGTGCGTCTTTGATAGCCGCTCGAAACTTGGAAGTGCTGAAAAGATTGTGCTCTTGGGTATTTCCTCGCCAAGAAACGGTTCTAGACCGCCATATAGAATTCTTATCTTGGCTATCCATGCCATACATGTTGTTAGTTCATGAGAACTCCCACTTGAGAGCTGCGGGAAGCTGTAGCAGGTAATAAGCTGTAATACAAGACAGACATAATTGCTGTGCTGATGAGCAGGCATTACTTTTAGAACCCGCTTGCACAAAACGGGCGCGGGAGGGAGCACCTGCTCAATACACAATCGTTGTGCAAGCAGAAGTGCATGCGGGGGGTTGTGCATCCTGGAGGTTCAACAATTTATGCCTGCAAATGATCGGTAAAAAGTGTGTATAGACCTTGTGAGAGGACTCCTCAATGACTTACCTAGTAGCGCTAGAGCGTTCCAAGCCTTTCAGTGAGTTGTGATGGCCCATAGGCGGACCAATGAAAGGAAAGCACGCGTTATCAGGGGCCGAGTCTGGTGAGATAGTTGATAATACTGACACATTGAGTAGTTACACATTCTAAAAAGAATTCAGACTGTGTCACGTTGATGTGGGTGGTGCAGCAGTGTTATGCAGTAATGATGGAAGAAGCACACGGCAATGGGCTTCGTTACGGCGCCTTTGACGCGGCTGATGAATCGAATATCTAGATCAATCATAAATGTGATAGACAATACCTGGGCTATCTCATAGTTGCTCATCAAAAGATGTTAATGACCTTAACGACCTGAGCCATACTGTGATGAACGAACTCCTGTTCACGCTGATGAGGGGTCCGATCGGACACAGCCAGTGCAAGGTAGGACTCGAAGTCTTTACTGGTACGACCAAGAAGTGCCGGTAAATGCCAAGCCAATCCACGAAGGAGGTCCCGAGGATCAATGGTACTTTGTACGCTTAGCCTATTTGAAGACATAATTAGAATTGGACGCAGTTAAGTCGTATCTAGGTGGCTGTGAGGATTATGAACCATTTGTCATCTTGACTTGAAACCTCACCCGAACTCCATTCACAGTCTTCATATCCTTACCCCCGTCTTTCAGACCTCTCACTCATTCCTTGATCCTCATCATGTACACCGTGTCACCACCATGCCTGATAGCTCAAAAAGCCGGTATATCAGACTTGAAGGCGAGTCCCTCCGTATCACCTTCGCATCTGTTTCATGATCCTCGCACTTTATGTACAGTCGTCGATGGAATGAATCTTCAAGTCCCTCCCGACCGCGTTCCCGCTGGCATTTAAATATCTATCAATTTCGACTCCCGGAGACGCTGGAAATCAGCCATCAGTGTCTCATCATCTGACATACCTTAGCTGATATACGTGATCTTCGGGTGTTCTCGCGTTTCCTACTCCCACTTCGTACGAAGACCTGCAAGCGGCAGCACGTCAGGGTCCGGTCATCACCCTCATTGCCAGTAAGTACCCATCATTGTCCCAACGTCAAGAGAGCCCCATCATGTTCCTTTGCCATCCATTGTTCTCACAGATCTGAATATTCCCCAAGTATCGCTTCACCAGGGCAATACAACGCGCATCTTGGATGAACCCAGCGGAGCCGACGGCGGATTCAATGGTACTCTTGCGGATAACGTAGGACGAGATTATGCCCCCATCGTCAACGTACTCGAGCACGTCCTTGAACTCAAGCGCCACTCTTGAATCTGGCTATGTTCAACTGTAGCTTTCACGTTCATTCCTCTCCGTGCAGCTCACCCCTTTCAAACAAAGGCAGATCGTTCTGGCAAGGAGCCATGCCTTCAGGATCTCTACATCTACTCTTGCACGCCGACACTTTCAGCTCTGATCAGATCTAGACACTTGATAAAAAAGCACATGCCTCCATCCTTCATGGCGATCGGACAAGGTCAACCAGGCGCAGGGAAAAGCAAGGTGTTCTTGGCTGTTGACAGCGAGCCCAAGCTTGTCCATAAGCTCGTCCCTACGACGGCCAGCCGCACCACTATTTCTGGTGATGCAGCCACACGCGTAGGCGCACTCGAAGCTTTGCAGCAGAAAACTTGTCATGGTAAGCAGGACCACGTGCAACCTTACAATTCGCATCTTGTTATGAGAGACGAACATATGAAGCTGCTCGATATCATGGGGGAGAAAATCTTGTCGACGTGTCATACCGCCGTCGGCGACGAGAAGACGCCCAACGAAGCGACTCACCTTGCACATGGCCTCCAGTTTTCAGGGTTCAAGACTGTTGTTGGCACTCTGTGGGAAGTCGACGATACTATCGCAAAACACATTGTCAAAGCTTTCTACACGAATATGTTCAAATATTGTAGTCGTTTGGTAAATTCACAATTTATTAATTTGCAATTCTCTTCCATCCTGTTGTAAAAATGACCCTGATATATCATTGCGCTCCAGCTATCTCGTTCTTGCATACTCTATTGTGTTTTTGCCGACTACCAAAGTTTTGTGTACTTGACTCGTTTACAGCGTCGTCTTTTGTTCGGGTACTGGCTGGGCCTTGTCAAGCTGACTTACGCCTTCCTATCATATCCATCAAGTTTCAAGCATATTGTATGTTAATATGTACGATGATGGGTCGTCGGCCAAATTTCACCTCCCTGTACAACAACTCGAGAAACATTTTCCTACACAATACTACTAGTTGGTACATGTACAAGTTCCAGGAAAACAATCGAATTCATGCTAGTATCGGCATCGGAGTCTGCCACGAGTTTAGTGTGGTATTTCTGAATGCTAAGGATGAGGCGTGGTCCCAGCACAAACAACTGCATGCTCGAGAAAATGTCAAAAGCACCATTGAGTATCAAACCTGCCATATAATTCATATTCTACAGAAATGATGAGCAGTGTTTGCAAACACATGGCAATGATAGGTTGACGCACCAAGAGCCCTAGTGAGAGATAAGCAAGCTGGAGGCAAGAGACACAAACGATGCTAGCATGTGCGCAACTTGAGCAGAAAAAGATGGACATATTCACATTACATGCTCACCTTGCAAAATAAAGCATGTGAGATTTTATCAGTACTCTGAAACAGTCTCTGATGGTCGATCGTGTGGATGGGCCAAGTCGACGCAGGTCACGGAAGTGTTTTAGAGCAATCCGGACTGAAAGATACAGTGTGAGAACCTCCCAAACGGTGCTGAGCATCCAAATCATCCAGATCAGAAGCTGGGCATCCCCCTGATATTTATTATAGCACATGTACGTGCCAGACAGTATCATTTCCTCTAATGTTTGTCCAATGAGTTGTGTTCTTCAATTGAACAAGTAAAGCTTACCCGTTACGGTACTTTTAAGTATTATTGCTGTGATTATTGCGCAGGCAATGTTAACAGCCATGAAGATAGCAAAAAGGATGATAAAAATAATTCTGGATCGTTGATACATGGCATGCAATCGAGCAATCATGATGACTTGTATCATGTTTCAGTCGAGTCAACTCAAATATTGCAGCTCGATAACTCACCACCCAACATGGCAGGTACAATTACATTCATCACATTCAGTGCATAGCTCACAATGATGCCTAAAACACCCAATTAGTGATCATCCCCGTACTAATTTTAAACACTCCGACTCACACCTATTGAATCATTATGTCGAGTCATGTTCAATGTTAGAATCTCACTCACCCCTACATATGAGTGTATCCGTCGGATAGGAATGAGATGGTTGCAGAATACTACTTACTGCATCTGTCAGCGAGACCGATGGCATAATTGCTGTGTGCCGCCAGTCAGAAGGATCGAACACAGCGTATATGACACATACGCAGAACATAGACATTAATTGTCAGAGATGAGCTATTAGCACGATGCCAATATCTTGGCCTCGATACATACAAAGAATATAGTATTCCAATATAGCGTATCTAGAAAATTTCGGAGTCAACACAACTGCCAACCATACTATAGCATATCACGAGGTACGAACAATCACATACAGCATGGACATGAGAGACCAACGTTGCCTCTGTCGCGAATTCATTATATTCTCCTGCCATGGAACTGTATCACTCACCCAGATCAGTTCAATCTATAACATCATTCTTAGCGAGTTGGCTGCGCCGGAGATAACACTGACCTACCTCTTGTCTGAGTGTCAGCACTGAAAATATGATAAGAATATATCAGCGGTTTCAAACACTGTCCTGCTCACCCCAATCGTATACCACTACAACGCCGGCAGCAACTGCGAAACCGCAAGTTGATGTCAAATTGAGAGACATTGCTAACAGATACGATGAACCCGTACAACAGGAATAAACCAAATTCGAATTGATCGTCGGCCACAAACTAGGATCATTCAAGACTACAGTCATATTCGAGGGATGGGTGTGAGCGAGTTGGGAATGTTGGTGGTGCGGTATGGCGATAGCGTTTATGATAGATATACCACCATTCAGGGCTTCCATCGCAAAAATCTGCATGATGAATTTGATCCCGTTTCAAGACGATCAGGTGAAGTATTGCAGTGCGAAATCAAGCAAACAGGAAGCCCTTGATAATCAATCTTGAAACACATTTGAAATTGCAAACCAGTATAGCAAACGAAGTGGTGGGAGTTGGGTATGAAGCCGAATTGTGACTTCGAGTTCCTGAAGGTGCCATATGCATTAAACTGATTGATGAAATAAATAAAACAGCTGGTATGCACCTGTATGAAACTCGTTGACTACTAAATTGTAGGCAGCGCAAACTTCAAAGACTCCTTGTCTTTGAGCCATGCTACAATGGCAATATGTTAATTTGCTCTAACGGTGCTAAGCCCGGGTGTGCGCTGGTGTGCGGGGGCTATCATGATTCATGATGGATGGTTCAGATTTCGGGTCGGAACCGATCAAGACTCCGAGTTGGAACGGAGCTATATATAGTTATTACATACTAGGTGTGTTGAATTCTGTGTTTCTTATGTAGTTCAATGACCACAATGCATATGTGCCAGAGCATAACTTATTATTACTGCCTCAGGTGCAACTGTTTATTTTGTCAAGTCGCTCCCCAACTTGGTACATCCAGTGAATAATGATGGTCATGATGAAACACTCACCACAACCACGGTCCGCACTGCAAGCTAAGTTAAAACTGGAACTAATTCGA